TACATACTGTTACCAGCCACCCCTTTGGAATGAGATACATCGGAGACTGTAGTGTCTTTTAGAAATATGGTTTATTTATACATATTTACACCTGAGTTTAGGTGGAGGGAATGCAGAAAATTACACCCCAGTAGTGTATCTTGTTGCTCATCTCATAGCTTCAGAAAGCTTTGGTCCAGAGCCCGGTCTCTTGGTTCAGCCTCCTCCACCCAACACCACATGGAGTTCTACCCCTCCATACTTCTTCCCCAAAACCTTGCTCAAAAACCTCTGTATAAAAGGATACCCCAACCCCCTATATGGACATCACACCCCCTGTAACCCTGGCAACCTCCCCTACTAAACATTGCTATTGTCTTTTGCTAACTAACACACAGCTGCAGGGGAGAATAGAAAATGGAAAACAGTATTTATTTATTTATTTATTTATTTATTTATTTATTTATTTATTTATTTGGTCGGTCTCTTTTGCTGATTGTGGTTACCAATCACTACTCTGTTGCCTTGCTGGTCATTGTGACTGAGATGTGTTTTGAGAAGGAGCCAACACGGGTTCTAGTCTGTGTGTGTGTTCTGTGTTTATCAGGGACACAGGACTTCATCCTTTAAAAGACATTCCCAAGGAGAAAAAGATTGTCAGTGATGAAGAACGAGAATTGTTACAGCAAGTAAGTAGTACAGTATAATCAAGCTGAGATCTCTACTCTAGTGCTCCTCTGTTGTTTAGATCAGTGTTTCCCAACCTTTTTTGGGCAAAGGCACACTTGTTTCATGAAAAAAATCTCGAGGCACACCACCATTACAGCCCCGTGACGTCAGCGCGCAGAGTCACGCCGGGAGGGACGCACGAAAGTGTAAGTTTCAATTTTTTCCCCTCCCCCTTGCCTTCCTTCTGTGCCAACCGCCAAAAAGCCAAGAAAAAAGCCAAGACTTTAGGGCAGCAGGTCGACACGGAAGAAGCTCCTACCTAAGGACAGGTGCGACGGCCGTGTCCTCTTCTGCCACACTTGGCAGCCCTGCCTCACGGTCGTGACTCCCACCCTGATTTCTCCCCGCAGGTCGAGCGGCACAGGCAGCCCAATGTGTGCAGCCCAGACACAAGCCCCACTTCCCCACTCTAGATCCTGAATGCGACCAAGTGCTCTGGACTCCCGAGCAGGGTGGGAAAGAGGACTCGCATCTGGTAGCCTCCGGGCTCCTCGCCTGCTCGAGGGATGGCATTGCAGGCAAGCTGCCGGCCGTTGCCATCGCCGCCCCTCATGCGAGTGGACCTGCCCGGAGTGGTGGGCCGGGGAGGCTCGCTCTCTGTGGGGATGTGGCCCGCACGCGCGGCCCCGCTTCCTCCTGCCCAGGGCTGAGCTCCTTACCCGCGATCTCGGTCTCGCGCACGCGGATCCCACTTATTCCGAAGCTCGCGCCACTAGCCGGGGCTCTCACACCGTGCCAGGGCGAGGCGGCGCGGCCCACTGACGTCATCGTGGCTCGCCGCCGCCCTCGACTTCCCTGTTCCCTCCCCTCCCTCGGGTCGCCGTGGTTACCGAGGACTGCAAGCTGCTCGGGCGAGCGTGGGGCATTAAGTGGGAGAAGGAAAATTAAAATTAAAACTCGCCTGAAGGCCGCCTCTCCGGATATCTTTCGAATTTTTTAATTTTTCCCGCGGCACACCAGGCAACGTCTCGCGGCACACTAGTGTGCCACGGAACACCGGTTGGGAAACACTGGTTTAGATCTCCCAACTCCCATCAGGCCCGGACAAGAACATTGTTGTCTACTGTTGATAGGTGTGCTACCTGGGGCTGATGGGACTTGGAGTCCAAAACATCTGGAAGGCACCAGGTTGGAGATGGCTGGCTTAGAAGAATGGTTTAGCTCTTTGCCAAACTTAACAGAAGTAGAGGAGACCCAGAATGGTTGGGAAGTCGTTCAGTTTGCTGGCAAAATACGGTCAACTATCTCATAAAGGTTGAGTCCTTTTGCACTGCATTGCATTTGTTTATTTAAATCAGAGGGTTGGGGAACCTCGGGGCAGAGGCCCAAATGCAGCCCTCTAAGCCTCAAGACTCTCCCTAGCCCATATCTCTTGCCTAGCCGCAAACACATATCAGCTTACCAACCATGCTTTGCCCTTTAGTGCTTCTTCCTGGTTGGGATGGGTTCTTGAACTTGGATTAATGCCTCTTGCTTGCCTGGATGGAGAATAGAGAGCGGTGAGTGTGTATAGAAAGTAGCAAAGGGTTAAAAAAAAAAGGCATTTGTTGCTGTTCTTCTGGTCACTCAGAAATAAATGTGGCTTTTCAATCAAAAAGGACTCTCTTTCCTAGATTTGAATCAACAGATAAATAAATAGCTGCCCATCCTTCTCAACTCACTCATCATCCATGATTGCTGGCACAAATAAATTAAAATAAATTACATACTTACAGCACAAGTAACCAAGAAGGGAGGGGGGTGGTACCTCTTGAGCATTCCTATTTTAAAGTTTCATGTAACTAACTAAAAAAAAAAAAGCCTCTGAATGTTTATTTCTCAGGCTTAAGGCTGCAGTCCTAACCTCACTTCCATAGGAGTAAGCCCCATTGAGTTACAGGAGAGTTACTTTTGGTAGGCATGGTTGAGATTGCACTGTGAACAAAGTCCAACAGGACTTAAAAGTAATGTCATCCCTAACTTATCAAATTTATTGCAATTGAAGTTGAGCTAACTTTATTGGGAACAAGCGAACTTGTGCTGCTGCTTAGGTCTGTATTTTTAAAAACTGTCTTCTCATTGTGCATGTCTTCTGTCTCCTTCCTAGACCCTTTCAGATAGAGAAGACAACGAGGAAGACAGTGATAGTGACAGTGACAGTGACGACTACATCCAAGTAATGATTGGCAATATCACAACAAGAAGGCCATCTTTCATGTAAGTCTGCAGGTGTCAGAATTCTGCTCTTGGTTTTATCTGTGGTTTTGTTTTCTGCGATATTTAGAAAGGAAAGGAGAAGAAAGGGGAAGAAAGACTAAATAGAGTTGTATAGCAAAAATTAAAAGATTTACCGGTAGTAGTGGACCTTGGTCTGAAAAGTTGGAAGACTCCTGCCATTGATGGTCCATGAGAATACCATGGCTGATGGTATCAAAGCCAATGAGAGATCCAGCAATAACTTAGCCACACTCACCCCATCCATTTCCTGATAGAGGTCAAACATCAGGGTGACCAAGATGAATTCTGTCCCAAACCCAGGTCTGACCCTAGATTGGAACAGGTAATGGGAACCTTTAGCTCTCCAGATGGAGCTGAACTACAACTCCCATCATTCCCAGCAAGTATGAAAGTCATAGTTCAGTAAGATCTGTAATGCAAAAGGTTCTCCACACCTGGTCTAGATAATCAGTTTCCTTCAGGACTCCCTGCAGCTGCATTGTCTCAACCTTCTCTAATATTTTGCCCAAAAGGAGAGGGGAATCTGTGACTTGATAGTTGTTAAATGCCATCAGGTCCAGGTTTTCCAGGAGTATCCACACCACTACATCAAACGAAGACATGCTCACCAGACCTTGAATCCACCCCTCTGGCTAACTTTAGTAAGCCATGAAGTGCAAGTGAATTATAGCTGGAAGGGAAAAATCTGAAGCACACTTTGAGTACGCTCTGAATTTTCCCTTTGCGGGCCAGCTCAAATTCAAGGTGGGCTACAAAGGAAACAACTTCCTTAGTAAGTGTGGCTTAAATTTAAGAGTATGCTCTCGAGTCTACCTTTGAAGTTTAATCACCTGGTGTCAGGTGACTGACAGGTGGGTGGTCCTGCCCACCTGTCAAAGTGATCCACGGTGAGTGGGGAGCTGGATACAGTCCCCCACCCCAGCTTCAGTGCAAGTTTGAAGGGCTTGCTTGAACTGCAATTGCCAGTTCAGACATCAACATGGTTTGGTGAAAATTGGGAAGTGTTTGATTACACTGGGCATGCAAAGAAAGGAGGGAGGACATAAGCTCATCACCATTCACCATGATTTGGACCATGCTCTTCATAACTGTTCAACTGGCTTTTAGCGAATGTGAAGTTATAAAGGCCTCATATGCCTTGTAATATGTCAGAACTAGGAAGTGATCAGACTTGCTATGTTTCTTGGCTGCCTTCTGCTGCTTCTCACCCTCACATCTTAGCCTGTCCATTTATTGTAGCTGCTCACTGAAGCCAAACCACAGTGCAATTCAGCAGAAGCCTGTTCCAGCTGCCTGATGCAGACATGAAGGTAGCCAGGATTTTTGTTAGGGGGGGACAGGCCTTTTGCGGGGGGGGGGGCAGAATCTTAGTTATGTATTTTTATTGATTTTATTGATTTTTTGGGGGGGAGGTGCCCCTCTCTTGGCTATGCCCATTGGTGCAGATGTGTTTTGGTCCTTTCTCTCTCCCTAGGGAGCACCCAGGAATATGAGTCTAAAAAACAACCAAGGTTATGAAGCAACCACATCTGGTACTGGTCTTCCCTAACGTCCCCGTGACGTTAACATATATGAGAGTGCTGGAGGTGAAATAGTTAAACAGGTTACCCAATCAGGACCCAGGGGGTGGAGTCAGAAGGACTATAAAACCAGCTCTGGGAGGGGTGGGGAGTTCGTTGGGAGTTGGGTGGAGTGAATTGGGCTAGAGTTTGTGCGTAAATGAGTTAGTGCAGTGGAATAAGCTGAGTCAGGAATAGTTAGGGGCTAGGAAGACAAGTAAATATCTGAGAGGTGGTTTAGTGAGTGAGAGCTGGTAGCGGAAGTTATAGGTCTGGATAGGCACCCCATGATTGTAATTGACCGATACCATTTATGAAACCACACGCTTGTTAAACTGCAATAAATAAACAAAAGTTTATGTTCCAATTTAACCCTGACTGGACTCAGGATTGTACCAGGTAGGGCCTGGGTAGTGGCAGCAGGAAATAAAGTGGTGGCCGAGGGATCAATAGATGGTGAAATGTCCAGGGACCCTGTGTGATCACCACACTCCCACTGTGGCTTTTCCTCCTCTGAAGCAGTTAGTCAAGATAGAGACAACAGAAAGTGGTCTTTTCCCCTATGAATCTCTCAAAGCTGCCATTGCCTGGTGTAGACTCAAATAAGTGAAACATTTTGCAGAGGATAGCAGGGATAAGGAAAAAGAGAGAATAGGGGAATTCTATCAGATGGTTGTGAAACTAGATTTTTTAAGTGAAAAGTTAAAGTTGAGCCTCTTGGACAATTGCTGGGTGGGAAATTTGGCTGGCTGAATCATTAAAATCCCAGAACTAGAATGGCACCATTGTATAATAAACTGAAGCTCCTCTCTGAATTTTTCCTCTCTTCACTGGATTTAAGTGTGAAAGGTACAGACCAGGGATCTGAGCAAGTTAATTAACCTTGGGAGGCTGGTGAAAGGGTTAAATTTGGTAGACAGTGTAACTGGTGAAACTCATCTGCCAAAGTGTAGTGGTATTAGATATGATCTTGAAGTAGCTTGAACACATTTTTAAAGCTTCCAGTTACTTTAATTTATGGAAGTCTTGACTAAATCAAAAGACCCTCAGGAATATTTGCTCCTGAGGAGAATGTTTCACTGATGTGTGTTGCAGAAAACATTGCAGCAGCAGTGTTATAACTGGATAATTGATTAGGCGTCCAAGCTCTAATCATTACATCAAATCAACCAAACCTTTAGTTGATTAATGAGGGGAAGCCAGTTTTAATCAATGGAACTTTTAAGGACTTACATATTTCCTTATGGAGGCTGTTTTGGTTCTGGTGTGTTACTAGACTAGAGAATGAAAAAGCTGTAATGGAAGCAAGAGGCTCAGGAAAGTTTGTTTCTGCCCTTCCTTGCATAACTGTCTTGTAGAGTAGGCCAGTTATGGCTCAGCTGTCTGGTTTCCTCCTCTATAACATAAGTCAGGAGGGAGATCTTGGGACCCTCACTCAAACACTTACATGGGGATTGCACAGATGTCTTCTAAAAGTCAGATAGGGAAATGAAAATGTCAACAGGACCCAGCAGGATATGGAAAACAAAAAGGAGCATCTGTGGTTCTAATTTATCTCATCCTAAACTTTCTACTTGGGATCAGGTGAGTAGCAAGGATGGTCAGTTGCAGGATTATCTGATGGGGGTGGGATGGATCCTGATGTGAGAGAACAAAGGCTACATAGCACAGTCCATTTATTAGGGGCTCAGGACCCCAATTTGGCAGGCAGTTCCCAGCAAACCAGAAGTGTGGCATACTTGCCAGGCGAAGATTAACACTCCACTGAGATCAGATGAAGGTGGACAGTTACTGCCCAGATTCCTACCCCCACCCCAATCTTTCTGTGACACAGTCTGAATCATTTTGTTGACGTAGGTTGTGTTTTGGCTCCCGCAAGGCAAATGGAGCAGCAAGAAACCAGGCTTTTCCCTCACAGAAGCAAATATTAGAGATGGCTTTTCCTTGTGACACTGACTGATTGGTTTGTCTTTCACTTCCTAACTTATATCAGAAAGACATCTAAATTGGGGCTATGCTAGTGTACAAAATATATTCAAGTGTAGTTGGCTATTACCAATTCCTTAAATCATTTGGCAGCCCTGGCGTTTTACATTGCAGCTTGGATTTTCTTCCTTAACTGAACAACACCAAAAATATAATTCTGGCTCAATAATAGACCAGGCAATGCTGTGAAACTGAAATGCTATTTAATTCCTTCTGTGTGATTTGCTTATATAAGAGAAGTTAGATACTTTGGGCATTGATTTCTATAGTCAAACATTAGGATGGCAACGTTCACATGCTGATGATCCCAGACTGATTTGGTTAATGCCCCCAAATTAAAGTATTTCTCCTTTTTTTAGACAAATGCAATTAAATCATGACAGGGCCATTCACTGATGTGCCTTGGAGCTTGTTACAAATACAATTGTGGTTTAGCGGACTCAAATACTCCCTCCCATCAGCATGGATTTATTCTGCTTTTTCAAAGTTTGCTTTAGCTAGGATTGTCTCATTACCATGATTTCCAAATCTACTTCAGGTCATAGTTAAGAGGCTAGTCCTGGTCAACCCAGTACTCTTTTCAGGTGGAACTCACTGGAACCCCTCAGCCATTGCCATTATAAGAGAACAAGGGACACGTTCATGGTGAGTTCCATCACCTCATTTTCTAGAAAATTAGCACAGGTAAACCACTAACTGTGGAATGTTGTGCCTTGGCTCTCAGAAATTCACCCGTTTTTGTCTGAGATTATCACTGTTAATGAGAATGCTGATATTTACTGTAATGAAATACATTTTGTCTCAGAGGTTGCTAGATTGTTCCAGACTTTGATACTTCCTTTGTATCCCACCACAACATATAAGAGCACCACAGCTGTGTTAACCCCAGAGCTAATTTTTTTGAGGCTGTTTTAATTTTTCTATGACTCAAAGTCTGAAATCATCTACATATGCAGGAGAATGAAGTGGTAAAGTAGACAATACAACTTTGGACAGCAAGTGAGCATTTATGAATGCTCCTCTGTAAGTAGAAAATTAAGTAGAAAATTAATGTATCAGCAGCTTCTGTCTATGCTAGTTTTCTCTCATAGGAACACATTTTAAAATGAGGTCCTCAACTGCAGACTGAAGTGGGATGACGCATTCTCCCACCTCGAGATTCTGCCATCTCTTTCTACTAGGTGTATGGAACCTGCCTCATTCATTCATTCATTCCCTCCCAGGTGCTGACCTTTCTGATTACTTCAATTATGGATTCAATGAGGAAACATTGAAAGCCTATTGTGAAAAGCAGCGCTGGTTTCTGCTTGGCTTGAAGTCATCTGCCCCTGTCAGTGCTGAAAAGCAGATCAAGGTAAGTGGTGGAACTCAGGTGTACTGGAGGCGGTTGGAGGATGGATAGCGGCTAACAGATTGAGGTTGAATCCTGACAAGACAGAAGTACTGTTTTCGGGGAGCAGGGGGTGGGCAGGTGTGGGGGACATCCTGGTTCTGAATAGAGTAACTGTGCCCCTGAAGGACCAGGTGTGCAGCCTAGGAGTCATTTTGGACTTACAGCTGTCCATGGAGGCGCAGGTCAATTCTGTGTCCAGGGCAGCTGTATAACAACTCCACCTACTTGCCTGCAGGCTGTCTCACCAGAGTGGTGCATGCTCTGGTTATCTCCCTCTTGGACTACTACAATGCACTCTACATGGGGCTACCTTTGAAGGTGACTTGGAAACTACAACTAATCCAGAATGCTGCAGCTAGACTGGTGATTGGAATGGCTACCAGGACCATATAACACTGGTCCTAAAGGATCTTTGTTGGCTCCCAATGCGTTTCTGAGCACAATTCAAAGTGTTGGTGCTGACTTTTAAAGCCCTAAATGACCTCGGCCCAGTATACCTGAAGGAGCGTCTCCACCCCCATCGTCCAGCCTGGACACTGAGGTCCAACTCCAAGGGCCTTCTGGGGGTTCCCTCACTGCGAGAAGTGAGGTTACAGGGAACTAGGCAGAGGGCCTTCTCAATAGTGGCACAATTCCTCTGGAACACCCTCCCATCAGATGTCAAGGAAATAAACAACTATGTGACCTTTAGAAGACATTTGAAGGCAGCCTTGTATCTGGAAGTTTTTAATGTTTGATGTTTTAGAATGCTTTGATATATACTGTAAGCTGCCCAGAGTGGCTGAGGAAACACAGCCAGATGGGCAGGGTATAAATAATAAAATTATTACTATTATTAATATTACTTGGAGATACACACACACACAGACAGAGAGAGAGAGAGAGAGAGTGAGTGAGCTCAGGTGTACTTAGCTTATTCATATATGCATGTGTGTGTGTGTGTCTGTGTGTATACACACACATATTTAAATGAAATGTATTAATTTTATTAATCTTAAATTTAAAAAATCCATTGTGACACAATTCTGTAAATAAATATAATCTGTATATATACAAATGATGGTAACCTCAAGCAACAAAAAACTATTGCAGAGTTTGCTTCTAGCCACTTCCTCAGTCAGTCAACCAATATATGTAGAAATTCATTTCGGCTGCCAGCACGAGTTTCCGTACATGGTGTAGTAGCCACTTGGTAAAAGCAGCTTGGAGAGAATTTCATGCTAAAAAAATAATTGGGAGGAGAATGGTTAAGTGTTCTTTATATCTGCATCTCTTTCCCAGTGCAGATTCTCTCCCCACATCACACCCTGAAAAGGCTTTGCAATTGTGAAGGGGTCATTGCAGAGAGGGGAGTTCAGTTACAGGCATGCTCAGATCAGTGACTCATGCAGCAACACTCGGAATGGTGAGTTGCTGCACTCTGTATATGTGTGTGTGTGTGTGTGTGTGTGTGTTGTGGTTACTTTTGACTCTTAAACACTCTGAAATAGCCTCCCCCAACCTGAGGCCCTCCAGATGTTACTGGACGGCAACAGAGGCTGATGGACCCTGTACTTCAAACCATTTGGAGAGTCTCCAGATTGGTGAAAGTTTCCCTGCAGGTAACTGCCATCTTTGGTTATATAAACAAAACAAACTTCCAACTTCCATTTTTTGTGCCTTGGCTAACAAAGGCTGTATTATGCTATTGGTTTTTAATTTTTAATTTTTTGCTTAGGTTCAACAAGGAAGAACTAGAAATTCAGAAAAAGAACCAGATTTTAAAGCAGATCTTACGGCCCCAGTAGGTGGGCAGGTGAAAGTCGGGTCGCCCCCAAACAGGTACACCAACCACTTTTTTGTGTGTTTTTAAGATTCTTGTATTAATTAAATGCTATGTTATACCAGGTTGGCTCCAAGCTGTTCTTGTGTAGACTTGATCCTGTTGCAGAGGCAGGGAAACTTTTTAGGCTCCATGGGCCAGATCCATTTTGGGATCTGCCTCGCAGGCCAAATTTGGCAGGTGGGTGGCCACAACCTGTGGGATCCAAAATGCATATGGTAAAGGGATCATTGAAAGAGCTGTAGAACTCTGTGATGTCATACGTATGAGGCAGTTATGGCAGTTGGTACAGTTGGTTCAGTCAGTTGAACAGTCTTCACAGAGCAGCAGGTTATGTTTTGATGTGCTTCTGTCTGCCTCAGAGTTAGTTAGTCTGCAATAGTTTAATCTGTGTAAAATGTTTTAGCAGCTTAAGTATCATTGTATATTTTAATCTGCAAGTTCAAGTACACTAAGTAGGTTATGTTATTTTTAACTTTAAAATAACTGTGGTTGCTTTCTTTGAAGTTATGGTCCATCTTCTTCTGATTCCCCACAAACGTATCTTTTCAGGGGGCTGGCAACTGCCCCACCGTGCTGAACGTGCAGCAGGATAAGACTCTACATACTCTGTCCTTGCTTAGAAGGAGCAGAGGCCAGGCATCACTGTGAGCTCTTTATGTTTTGGGCAGGGCAGGGCATGAAGAGAAGAGTGATATTCAGATGAGGGGGAGGAAAAGAAAGCGCCCAGAGGAGGATTTAGAAAACCCCAACCCCTCAATTCACCAGGGTTCCTGAGGGTTGACCTGAGTTGCACAATGTCCAGCCTGGAAATGAAGGGGTGGAGCTCCTGAGTTAAGGATGGGGGAGGATAAGAACATAGCCATCATGGCAAGTAGCTATTGATAGCCTTATCCTCCATGAATTTACCCATTCCTGGGAAAGGAATGTTGCCTAATACTGCACGTACTGTGCCAAGACACAGCATGCCTTTTGCCTCTGGGTGGAGCCAAGTGGATGTAGTTGTGGGGGACATAGTAAAATAGCAAAAGTTCCCAAGCCAAGCAGGAAATGCCTGTCTACTTGTTCCTGACCCTGTGCCTTAAAGTGTTATTCTTTCCCCCTGGAGACCCCAAGAGAAGGCAGTGAAAACCCTACAACATTCAGCGAAAGTGTTAGGTGTAGGAAAACCTTAGCCCTTGTTATTAGACGAGGTGCTCGTGTATCTGGGCCAGTGAATGCTTTGCAGTTAAGTCTTTGGGCCTCCCTAATTGGCTGCTAGGGATGCCATGCTTCCTCCATTAATCTTACTGTGCACTTGAATTCATTCATTCATTCATTCATTCATTTGTTTGTTTGTTTATTCATTCAGACTGGGTAAGAATGCCCAAGTCCTTCCTGTGGAAGATCTAAGGGCCAAGGGTCTATATACAGTGGAGCTTGGTGCAGTATATGACCTACGTGTTGGTAAATCTCAAAGCCTTCCATCTCTTCCCTGTTTGCATAGCTGAAGGAGGGGGAGAGTGCAAGTGTGCACCTGGACCATCTGTCTGTCACCTGCTTATGCTGAATCTGAGATGTTGCTTCTCTCCCTTTTCTAGCCAGGAAGCTAAGTGTGACCATTGATGTGATAGGTGGAGAGCCAGGCACTATTAAAAGAGTGGAAGGAAGGCGTCGTGATAAGCATGGCCCAGAGGAAAGCTCAATTCAGGTAAGAAATCTGTCCAGACTCCATGAACTTCGCTTTATCTAACTCACTTTCAAGTACAAGTGGATTAGTTTGTTTATATATTTATTGTATTTATATCCCACCTTTTTCTCCAAGGAACTCAAGGTGGTGCGTTCTTTCTCATTTAATCACCATAACAGCTCTGTGAGGTAGGGGGGTGAGAGTCAGTGACTGGCCCCCACAGTCACCTAGTGAGAGCTTCATGGCCAAGTGGGAGGATTTGAACCCTGGTGTCTCTCCCAGGTCCTAGTCCAACCACTCCACCACACTGGTTCTCAAATTTATATCACACCCTTCATCTAAAGGAGCCTCCTTTGGGGCTGATTGCATACCCTTTTTATTACCGTATTTTCCCGTGTACAAGACTAGGTTTTTTCCCTTTAAAAAAGTCAAAAATTAGGGGGCGTCTTATACACGGGGCCATCTCCCCCCATTTTCTTAAATCCGAGTCCCCAAAACTAGGGGGCGTCTTATAGATGGAAAGATACGGTAAATTCAGTCCGCATACTCAAAAGCAAAGTAAGGAGAAGTTCAGAATTCCATTTAAGCTCAACTCCACATCCAGGACCACATTCTGCCATTTTTCTGTGCTCCAATGGCACAATGCAGTCCTCCCATGTGGGATGTGTGCTTTGTGTAAGGCCTGGTACAGGAATCAGTTTGGCTGCAATTAATGGGGAGGTCAGGTGTTTTCTTTTTTCTTTTTAACTAATCCCTTTTCTGTTTTATGTTCCTTTTAAAGGTACTTGGTGATAATGGGAGCAAGGCACATCCCACAAAGTCACTGCAGCAACCAGGGCCACAACAGCTATTGGTGCCACCCACGGGTCCTCCACCATCAGTAGGTGGTTCACCTCCATCTTGTTTTTTCCTTCCTTGGATGCCAGTTATTTCTTCCCCACCACTTTGCCATCATCCAGGTAGGTGCCTGCTAGCATAGAAGGCTGTCCCAGAAAGCTAGGTAGACCCTACCATCACTGTCTGAAACCCGCTTAGCCATAGGCAGTTGATTATAGGAAATGCCCGAAAGAGCACTCACTGGTTGTCCTGTGTCCACAGTAGCAAAGTGAAAGGACTGGGCCACAGACAGAAGGTCAGGATTCCCATCACTCCTGACTGTTAGTGGCATTTGCTGGAGTTGATGGGAGTTGATAGGTCCAGCAATAGGGCCACAGGTTCTCCACCCTTGCTCTAAACCATATTTGTAAACCTGCTTAACAAGTATTCTGTTATTGCCTAGGTATGCCACCCCCAGCTCCCGTTCCAGGTAAGTACTTCTGTTTAAGCATAAGGGTTGCAAATTCAATCTGGCCTACTCTGGAGCACTTCAAATTAAAGCCTTTGAAGAGAAATCTGGGTAGCATTTAATTGGATGAACACATGTAGCTAATCACCAGTTAGTGGCCAATCAAATATGGTCTTGTCAACATGTTGCTTGACTAAGTCTTCTGTCATCTCTGACCATTAGCCATTCTACATCGGGCTGATAGGAGCTGGAATCAAGAACCATCTAGAGGGGACTGTCCATCTAGAGGGGTTACAGACCGTTATACATCAGAGAAGTTATAGATTTCATTGGGCACCAACCTATGAAATCTTTAACTTCTCTGATATGTAATGGTTATGGGGTGGGGAAACACCTTAAAGAATAATGGAATAGGCAAGGCTGAGGTCTGAAAGTGTCTGTTCTAAGTTCCTTGAGACAGAAGTAGATGTGGTAGATGCCTGGCAGGAAAGCTACCTGGGAACTGCAGGTGGGATAGCCAACACCCCAGGTGTGCAGAATTGCACATTATGGGTAGGACATGAGTCCATTGTTGAGTCCAGTCTCTCTCCCTTCACTAATATGTAGTGAATATATGCTGATATTATCACATTGTGTATTCCCTGCCTTGCATTATTGACAGCAGCTGGTTGGGGTGCTGGGAGATGAAACATGAAGTTCGGAGACAGGTGCATGCTTTACGACACATTACCATAGGATGCAGGATGGAGATGGTACCAGGGTTTTAACTGGCCTTGTGAAGTTCTAGGAAGAGCCTGCTGGATCGGGCCAGTGGCCCATCTTGTCTGGCATCCTGTTCTCACAGTGGCCAACCGGGTGCTGTAAGAAAACCAGAAGCAGGATCTGAGCACAAGAGCATGCTCAAGGGATATGCTCTGTCCCCATCCTGTGGCCAAAGAAACAACATTATCTGCTTCTGAAGCAAAAACAGTGAGGAAAGAGAAGGCTTCAGAGGTAGTTGAAGGGTCTTCCTTTAGAGGCAGCAAGTGAGCTCACTAAAAGTGCTGCTCCTTCTTCATCTGAGAAATGAGGCCAGGGTGGCCTCCACTTTGGTATGATGTTCTTTTGGGGGCAGGAGGAACAGCTTTCCCACAGCTCTTGATTGATGGGAGAGGCTCAAGCATACTGCCCTTCAGCTCTGCCAGGCATTATAGCAGCATTTGCAAAGGGGCTGAGAGCTTCCCTTCCCCTTCTCCACACATTTAAACTAGTATGACTTTGTCTACAGGTCTGTTTCCTCCACCTCATGCTTCACCACCACCCCTTTCGATTCCAACACATGGTGGGTAAGTGAGAATTAAATGGGTTTAACTTACTAACACTCTATTTGTTGCATTTATATCCTACCTTTTTTGAGCTCAAGGTGGCACACGTGGATCTTCCCTTCCTCAGTTAATCCCCACAACAACCCTGTGAGGTAGGTTAGGCTGAGAGACCAGTAATTGGCTGAGGGTCACCAACTGAGCTTCACAGCTGAGTGGGGAGTTGAACCCTGGTCTCCCAGGTCCTAGTCTGACACTCTAACCACTATGCCACACTGACATCTCTCTTAATATTGTCTCATCTGTAGGCTGCAAAAGGCTAGCAGAATTGTGGTTGTGGTTTTGCATTACTTTGTGGTTGGGAAAGAGCTCTTTGAATATGATTGTGGACATTAGCAGAAGCACCATTCAAATGCACATCAACATTTTTTTTAACATTAGGCTGAGATTGGTCACCATTTTCTTTTGTCAGTTTATTGATCCACTGTGACTGCACTACTTGTAAATTATCATATCAGTGAGGGTTCTTGAAGATAGGGCTAGGGCTGTTTGGTGCCCCCCCTTTTTTTATTTGCCTTCTCCATTCCACCTGGAAGGTTGTAATCCCAGTTTTGTAGATTACCAGATCAAGCCATAGCTGAGGGCAGTGGTGGGAGGCAAAAGCAGATGGAGAGAGGCAGCTGATCTGTAGCTTCTCTGGTGATAGATTCCAGATTGCTCAGACCATGTGAGCCAATCTGACCCGAAAGCTTTCATAGGGGCCAGCAACTATCAACTGAACTGCTCATGCCTATTCAGTGTGCCTTATCTCCCTGCAGTTTGTACCTCCAGCTACTGCTGAGCAGTGGCATTCAGACTGCCAGCTCATGAGTTGCTAAGAGCAGAACCCTTGGGATGATTTGTGGCTCTTTCCAGTGGTGTGCAGAGAATGTGGTGATGCCCTTGAAGAGGCATCTGAAACTGCAGAAAAATACAGCAGCCACAATGTTTCATGGTGAGCACTTTTCCAGCCACATTACACTAGTCTTATATCAATTGCATTGGCTTCTGGTTCTCTCTTTCTCCCACTCCACTTTCCTGGTCCCAGTTCTAGATGCTGGTTGTTACCTGTCCAGGAATATCTGAAACACAGCCTCATCTCACCACAGGTTACTGTCATCTTGTGATGTCCTGATTTGTGTCCCATCAGCAGAAAAGGTTAGTTTGGTAGGAAGGCAGATTGGGCCTTTTCTGTGACAGCCCCCCTCCCCAAAGATATGGAATTCCCTTCCACAATAAGTTAGACTGGCCTGCCCCTAACAGCTTTTAGGCAGGCATTTTTTTATATTTCCTGAATTTTGCTGGTGTTTAATTATGAGATTTAAGGATTTAGTTTTTCTCTGTTTTCCTGGGTTTCAGATATTTGGATTTTATTTTGTGTATACTGGTTTCATTGGTTTTAATGTACTGAAAATGGCCTGGGGGGGGGAGATAAAGGTTTTTCATGAGCAAAAATGTTTGTACAAAGAAAAGACAGGGAGCTTAGATTAAGAACTCTTACACACTCATTCCCCACATTGTCAGTTTATGGAGTTCATTTGGCAAAATGTGGAGATGGCTTTACAATGGGACTATATCTCCCCCAACCTGGTGCAACCTTCAGATGTATTAGTCTACAATTCCCATATTCCTTCAGTCAGCATGGTAATTGCCACAGATGCTTAGAGTCCAAAACATTTGGAGGGGTGTCAGGTTGGGAAAGGCTAGGTTAGACAAATTTATGGGGAACTTTACAGATTTCAGTGGACATCAGCCATGATAATCAAATGGACGTCCATATTTACGGAGGCAGCATGTCACTTGGGGAGGAGGGAACTGCAGGAGAGGGTGATAGCATGCCTGGCTTGTAGGGTTCCCAGAGGCATCTTGGTGTTCAAAGTGGAAACCGGATGCTGGGCTAGGTGGTCTCATCCAACAGGGCTCTTCAGTATTCTTGTGTCTAGCTCTCTGCATACTCAACACTCCTAGGTTGTACTCCTAGTGGATAGACAAGAAACCAGTAGTAGCTAGGAGAGATGGCATGGTAGGACTAGGAAAGAATCAGCACCTTTGATGAAGAGGTGGCTTACAGTCAATAAGAGAGAAGCTCTTTAAGGGAGTTGGGACCAATGATGCTCTGTTTTAGAACAGTTGATTTTAATTTTTCTCTTTCTGAATGGGTGACAGGGGGACTAGATATTACTAACCAGTTGTTGTTGTGTTCTCTCCCCCCTCCCTCCCTCCGTCTCTCAAAGCCAGTCTGCCAGCTACAGCAACAGCCAACCACCTCCATTTGGCTACAACTCCACAGGTGAGGCCCTTAGACATGCTGCCTGAAATCAGTTAGTGTCCTGTGCTACCCATTATGGGTTATGTGGATTTCCAAGCTCGCTTCTTGTTGGGCAACCTTAGACCATTCTATTTAATTATTGTTATATTTACCATATTGGCCTGAATATAGACCTCACTTTCCCCCCAAATTCCAACCATGAAAAGCAAAAGTGTGGCTTTTATTCGTGACTTTACGGTATGCAGCCAGGAGCGCAGGGCAAACAGCGCCAGGAGTGCGGTAAAGCCGCACCCACCCCACATGTAGTCCCCCGTCCTCTCCCCCAAGGCCAGAAAGGGAGAGAGCAATGCAGCACGCCCCCCCCCCAATATGCAGCCAGGAGCAGCGAGGAATGGAGCGGCTTTTATTCAAATATTTTTTCTTTTTTTCTTCCCCCCTCCAATTTTAAAGGTGCGGCTTATATTCAGGTGCGGCTTGTATTCGGGCCAATACAATATTTATATCCCACGTTTCCCTGGCAGGACTCAAGGCAGCTTACAACTAAAACAGAATCAGCTAAAAACATATATAAAAAAGAAATCTGTTTTTTAAAAAACAATTTTACATTAATAGAATTAAAATATAAAATATAAAACAAGCATGCTTGTGAGGGTGGCAGGCCTGAGAATGGCCTCCCTTGAAGATCTCAGAGCCCAGGCAGGTCCATCTTCTATGACTGCCAACAGGTTGTCTACTCTTGGATATGAGATGCCACTAAATGCTAACCTCTGCAAACTGGCAGGTGTAGAAGAGCTGGAGTGCCACTATGCCCCATGATGTGCCTTCTATGCTAGCCATGTTTGAGCTGCCCCTTCCTGTGAGACCTCCTGCATTGCAGCATTTGCCTTGTTCATTCTCCCACCAACTGCTAAAGCCTGGAGTGGGGTGTGTGTGTGTGTCATGAATGCTACAATATTCCTGAGATTTCTCTCCTGCATATCCCTGCCTGATCTTCCTGGCCTTAACATGTTCCCAAATTCACTTGCACATACTTGCACCTTCCCACACACCATCACAAATGTTCCCACATGCAGCCTGAAAATTACCAGCACCAGTCAGTGTAATTACCCTTTTAACATGTTGCCCATGCTTAATTTTATTAGCCAGTTACTGCTTCCAGGTATGTTTGCCAGGAACATGCCAAAGCACCTGCCATCATTCATGAAGACATAATGCTTGCTTCTCTCCTTACTTTGTAGGAAGTGGATGGCTTTAGCAGTTCTGTATCTGCTGCTGATGAACTGCATATTAATACTGCTCTATATCTACATCTGAATAATTTGCTGAGCTCTTCCACACCACACCACACCCCCATATATTTCTAGGCAGTGGCCTTATATGCAAAGCCAAACAGGGTTTCAAACACTTGGCCTGGTGGATGTGGACCATTTGGATCCCTTCCAATCGGGATTCAGGCCTCATCATGGGACTGAAACTGCCTTGGTCATACTGGTCGATGATCTCCAAAGGTCATTGGGACAAAGGTAAAAGCTGTTTCCTAGTTCTGCTGGATCTCTCAGTGGCTTTCGGTACCATTGACCATGGTATCCTTCTGGATCAGCTAGAGGGGTTGCACTGGCCCCATGAGGCGAAACCACCTCAGCTCCCTCAGTGACAGTTTCACCCTAGGCAGGAACTACATTAGAACTACAACTACACTAGTCAGGCAAGACTTATTGACCATGCTCCTGTGAAGGACTGTGGGTTTTGCCTGCCAGGCTCACGTGAACATTTCTGGAAGAATTTATTGGCTTCATCTTTCTGACTTGGGTTTGTTTTGGTTTAGCCATTTTACCACATGGTTTTTTTCCTGTGTCATTGTCCATCCATTTTGGGGGGAGGGGAGGGGAACGTTGGGGCAGGAGCTCTTATTGTAAACCCTATCACTGGAATTGCCCATATCTGTTAAAACAGTAAAGCAGTTTTTAAAAAGGTGGGTTCTGGGATTTCCACATGGTTTGTGATCAACTTTCCATGTGTTTTCATTTCTTGTTACATTTCTTGAAGCAAGTTTGTGTATGATGAGGTTCCAGTAGGTAAATTTTGTGACCTACTTATGAAACTCTGAAAAGAGAACAGTGTTTGAAATTTTCTTCTTGTTAGACAAAGCCTCTTCTCTAACTCACTATTATTTCCTTTCAGCGATGATGAAAGGGATCATTACTATAGCAGAGAAGGCAGCTACAATTTTGAGCAGGACTATCACAGTAGAGATAATAGTTGGGAGTGAGAATATCATCATTGGGAGCAAAGGCACAGAGACAAAGAGGAAGCAGGCAAATACAAATCATGGTGGTAAGGCTTTTCCCAATGGTAGGTTGGAGCTTCTAGCTGGGATCAGGCCAAGGAACATTAAATTACGTAGGGGTAAACTGTGTTCCAATCTGGCCTTTCTATCTATAATTATTTAGAATGGACAAAGGCTGTAATAGGTGTAGGAGGGATGGCTGGATCTCTCTACCACATGTGGTAGACCTGCCCAAAGGTCCTTATAGACCAAAATAATTAAAGATATTGGTTGGTTATAGAATCAATTATTGACTCTCAACCCCAGATTGGTCCTGCTGTATATTTCAGAAATGGATACTGAGGTTTTAACACCCTAAGACTTAAGCCTATTTCTCTTGGCAGTGGCTAAACTTATGATAGTAAAACATTAGAGGTCACTATCTAGGAATTTCATGTTAGAATGGACAACTATAATATCAATTTGGTTTTAACTGAATGTTTACAGACAAATTTTATACTAGGGCAAGATTTATTGATTATGCTTCCGTAAAGGAATAGGCTTTGCCTGCCAGGCTTGCATGGATGTTTCTGGAAGCCCTCCTTGGCTTCACCTTTCCTGACTTAGGTTTGTTCTGACTTGGTTCAGCCATTGGCCATCCATCTTTGGGGGAGGGTTGGGGCAGGAGCTCTTTTTGTATACCCTTCCTATCATTGGAATGCCCATACCTGCTAAAACAATGGAAGAAATTTTAAAATTGTTGGTTCTGGTGTTTTCACATGGTTTGTGATCAACTTTCCAACTGTTTACATTTCTTGAAAGAACTGAGTTTATGATGAGGTTCCAGTAGGTAAATATTGTGACCTATTTATGAAACTGAAGAGAGAACTGTGTTTGAAACCTTTTTCTTGTTAGAATAAGTCTCTTCTCCAAGTGACTATTCCTCATTCTTTCCTTTCAGTGAAGATGAAAGGGATGGTTACTATAGCCAAGAATGTAGTTATGATTTTGTGTGGGGCTTTCACAGTAGAGAGCAAGAAGACCATCATCGGGAGCAAAGGCACAGAGACAAAGAGGAAGCAGGCAAACACAAATCATGGTGGCAAGGGGTTTCCCATTGGTAGTTTGGAGCCTCTAGCTGGGATCAGGCCAAATAGCATTAAATTATATAGGGTTAAACTGTGGTCCAGTCTGATTCATACTAATATATATTTTTTCAGTCTCCTTCCTGCACTAGCCGAAGTTTCCAGGCACTAGAGGACAGCCCCATAGAGGTTGTTAACTGTAGCCTAGCCTTGGGAATACAAAGATGTGGAGCATACCTGACAGCTACTGCATCATTCAGGTGCAGCAATGGTTGTGAGAGCCCCACAGCTGTGATAAAATTGACTTGGGTATGTGTGTGTTGCATTCCCATCAGTTTCCCCCTTGAGGTAGAAATTCACTGATCAGTGTTATGCCAGTCTCTTATTGATTGATCCTCCTGAAATACCATGTGTTTCAGGTTCCTACTGGAACATTTCCCCAGCATGTGGAAAAGGCCTCTTGATGTTAGAGCTCTAAGACCAGTTTTTTCTGTAAAAGGATGGCTGTAGTCCAGAGCTGATGCATAACATTGCTTTGCATCCAATCACCTGCCTCTCCATTTTTAAACTACTTTTTCACTATAATATTCTCTCTTGCATTGAGATGTTGGCAGTACAATATTAGAAAATCTGACAGATAAGTTTAGAGTTTTGCTTAAAAGCCACCAAGGATTCTGTTGTATTTCTATGATAAGGAGCAAAGCATTAATTCTTCTTGTATTTTTGTCCAATCCTAGTAAGCAGCATGAGAGCAAAGAATGTGAAAGCCACAAGCATCACAAACACAAGAAGAAAGAGAAGTCATGAGGAAGGTGTACTGGAGAGAAATGGACAGGATTCATGAAGGAGCAAATCTGTGGTCCAAAAAGAATAGTGACACTTTTACAGCCAGATTGTCTGTAGCGACTTTCTTCCCCTGAGACATTAAACGGCTGAAATGATTAGCAACCAAACATGCGCACAAGCTTCCTCTTTGTGAAAGAAGACCACATTCACAGATTTTTGGAGAGAGAAAACTGGCAGCAAAAAAAGGCAGTTATTTACCTACATTTGAGATCCCATGGCTTCTTATGGGAGATAGCTTCCGTGCAAACTAATGCATTTAGAATATAGGACAATACTTGGCAAATCATTGACTTCTTTTATTTTTTAGAACAGTAACAGCCACATGAAGCTTTGTCCAAAAAAGGAAAGTATTATGACAAAATGATCACAATAAGCTAGCTGACAGCTAGCTTAGAGTCTGACTTCTAAAAGCTAGAAGCTAGTTGTAGGGATGCTGCATGCTAGGAGAGCCAATATGATCAGAATAACACATCATCCAAACAGCTTCAATAACTTCAGAATAATTTATAAATGCATCAAAATAATAACAGTTGTTAACAATGTACCATAATCTCTTTGGTGCAAAACAATGTAGATTTACTGGTGATTGATAAAGGCACCTTGAAATAAGACAACATAGTGAAATAGTGCTGCTGAGGCAGCACATACCCTTCATTTGGAAAAAGCATACAATTTCCTCTCTACTGTCATTGCAAGAGGCAAATATTACTCCTGGCTTCCGCCTTGGGTCTTGTGGATTCTGTAATCACCCCTTGCAAGGAGATGTAAATGGCGATTCCTTTTAATACCACATTTACATGAAGGCATTAACACTCAGCATTGATGCTGTGACTTGCAGGAACACCTCACCCACATGAAAATTGCATGCCCCGTTATATCAATGTCCTTTCACACATGGCAATAACAGCTTGCAACACCCAAATGAGGCAGTGAAGACATTTAAATCAGAGATGGCAATTTGAATCATTCCTCGGGTCCTTTTGGATTCTTTAAACATGTAGATTTGATGGACTGCTCCTCCTGAAAGTTGACCACTGAACTTGTATTTCAAACATAGCTGTTACTCTGATTTCAACCTGCATTTTATACAAGTTACATATACTAGTGCAGTGGTACTTTGGGTTACAGACGCTTCAGGTTACAGACTCCACTAATCCAGAAATAGTACCTCGGGTTATGAACTTTGCTTCGGGATGAGAACAGAAATCACGCGGTGGTGACGTGGCAGCAGTGGGAGGCCCCTTTATCTAAAGTGGTACCTCAGGTTAAGAACAGTTTCAGGTTAAGAACAGACCTCCGGAACAAATTAAGTTCTTAACCCGAGGTACCACTGTATACAGAAATGCTGGACCAAAAGTTATTTTAAGCATTACACTTGCCCTATAGAATGCAGGTAAAGCAAGCAGTTTTCACAGGGGCAGAGACTCACATTAAGCAAACCACAATCTTAGAACAACAAAGGAGCACCCCACACTGCCATCCTTATGGAAGTTTCCTCAAACTTACTGTTTGTAGTCTACAATCAAGCTAGTAGAATCATGGAAATGAGCCTACACTTGGAGACCAGCTTGGAACTGTGGTTGCCCAGGGAAGAAGAGTATATCTTTACTAAGTTTGAAATCAACAGTCCTGTCAACATTAGGGGTTCCATTCCCACCCACCCACCCCGCAAGGTGTACTTGGTAACTGCATAGCTGAATTTTACCTGCAGATGCCACACTTCTGTATCAACTGTCTGGCCCAGCAATTTCTACATGCCATCCAACTATTAACAGCAGGCCTCTGGCAAAAAAAGGAATGTTATACCTAATTGCAGGGAAGGGCTACGGCTTAGTGCTAGAGCATCTGCCTTGCAGGCAAAAGTCTCCAAGTTCAATCCCCAGCACTTCATGTTTGGGAGCGACTCCTCCCTGAAACCCTGGAGAACTGCTGCCAGTCAGTGTAGACAATAATAAGCCAGATGGACCAATGTTCTGACTTGGTAGAATGCTGCTTCCAATGTCCCTTCCTACTTGGATCTTAAACACTAAAACATTGAAGCAGGAGAGCCCCAATACTGAGAGAAGTAATGCCATTTAAAAAATCACATTGTGGGGTGGGAAAAGGACAATAGCAGAATGGATAGGCATTGATGGGGTTTCCACCCTAAGCTACACAAAATTGCCATAACAGCTATTTGTCTCCCTTCCACAAGGACACAACTAGATAGTACAGTGGCAAGATCCCTTACAAAGTTGGGAGTAGGGGATGCAGAGGAGACAATTTAAAACACAGCATTTCTGGATGGATATGCATGCTTTCCAGCAACCATACATTTCCCTCCATATTATTATTATTTTTAAGCCATTTTTGCCCTGCTGGTTATGTGACCGGAAGTATAGCATGGCCATAATTTTTTGAAGAAGTATGTTGTGAGAAGGGGTGTTGGGGTTTAAATTTACACATACAGTATTTTACAGTTCTGCAGCAGGCCTAATTCTGCACATGGGTCTGCTGCCATTACATTTATTTTGGTTCTATGATATGTTCACTGAAAGTCCTGTCAGATTTATCTTACATTCAGTCTTTGCACACAGTCTCTGTTCTTGGTACAGGGGCCATCCATTCAACTTTCTTCAAGTTGCAGAATTTTCCCATTACTGGCTTTAGATGCCAATCCTCAACTCTTTCAGAGAGACAGTGGGAATGAGATGCAACTTGCCACCCAGCGCCTGAATTGCAACAAGCAGCGGTAATACAAAAATGTTGAGAGATCTCTACTTGCTAATGCATCAACAGGAACATTATTCCATTGGTCCTTCAGTTCATTTTCATCAGCAATAAAGATCCTGTCTTCAAGCAGAAAAGGCTGGTGCAGTAGGCATCACACTAGTGCATCATGTCCTCACACAAAAAACACAAATGCTCAGAGACAAGCTTTACATTGCAAATGGTCTCAAGTTCAACAAGGCACAGAAGAGCAGAAAAAAGGAGGAAAAACATCTTGTGAGTTTTACCCAAAAGATGGCATTCACATATCCTTTCTACCAAGCATGAAAAGGAGACGATAGTTTTGGTAAGGCAGACCTTAATAATGACTTGCAGGATTTATTTATCAACATCTTTAAAGCTACCAAAGTTAAAAGGTAAAGGGACCCCTGACCATTTGGTCCAGTCGTGACCGACTCTGGGGTTGTGGCGCTTATCTCGCTTTATTGGCCGAGGGAGCCGGCGTACAGCTTCCAGGTCATGTGGCTAGCATGACTAAGACACTTCTGACAAACCAGAGCAGCACACGGAAATGCCCTTTACCTTCCCGCCGGAGCAGTACCTATTTATCTACTTGCACTTTGACGTGCTTTCGAACTGCTAGGTTGGCAGGAGCTGGGACCGAGCAACGGGAGCTCACCCCGTCGCGGGGATTCCAACCCGCCGACCTTCTGATCAGCAAGTCTTAGGCTCTGTGGTTTAACCTGCAGTGCCACCTGCGACATTAGCCAATGTTTACTGAATTTACCAGGAGCCATAAGTAATCATGAAAACCTTTTTTACAGGTTTCTCTTGTACTCATATATATATATTATTTTTATTTCATAAAATTTATATACCCCTTGATTGTAAAAACAAACTCCAAAGCAGTTTATCGGGGGATTAAAATGTGAGTTGAGGAGAAACAGGCTGTAGTTTAGATTTCATATGTTCAACGTCCAATAGTTATATAACAAAAACATTAACTGATCACTGAAGCATGGCTTCTGTCTGCCAGAAAGCTGGGTAAAAAAATAAAATAAAAAATAAAATAAGCAGTTTGCCTTTGGCATAGGAATAGGATTCCAGGTGACAGTCTTGAGAAAAGCCATCTTAAATCAGTTCACTGTTTCTTTGGTTGGTTCATCACTCAAAGCCTTGAAATCTGGTACCAAAGTAGTCCCAAAATTATACTGAGTTTATGTCTTAAACAAGGCTTCCAGGCCAGGACACCACAGTAAGAGTTACTTTATTCCGTTGTTCCTTCAGCATGGGAATCAATTCAGCATTGCTCATTCCCATGGCAGACACTCCATTTACAGCCACAATTTCATCTCCACATCTAGTCAAAGAAAAAGGCAAAAGTACTGTTAGTAATGCTCTTGATATATGTCCCTATTGGTACAGCAGCAATTGGTCTGCACTGATTGTGTTAAAACATCAAGTACATTGCTTAGCAAAAAATGACAGACTTGCTAGTTAACCTTTTTAAATAATTAGAAATGCTCATGAGCCCAAAGAACTTGCCCATTGTGAGGTAGCTGTCCCACTGCATAATTCAGAAATCTGTCCATACCTCTAAGCAGCCTTCATTACAGTAATTAGGGAGAAATTAGATAATTCAACGCAGTACAGGAGCACAACAGAGTTACCAAGCCTCAGAGAGATTTATTTCTCTGGCTTTGTATACTTCTGCTAAAAATTGGTAATTTCTCTGTTTCTGCAACAGGTGTTATGGGATAAAATGCCCTCACCAGTCACTCTTATGAAAAACCCATCTCACTCTGAGTAACCGGGGCAGTAGTTTAATCAAAAAGAGTCATTACATTGCAACACCAGATATTTCATAAAGAATGCAAAAGTAATAGAAACAACAGTGTATGTACATACTTCAGTCTTCTGTCCCAGAAAGCAGGTGTTCCAGGCACAATGGTTTTAATGAAGAATGGATGGTTCCCTTTGTTTTCTTCAAACCCACCAACTATGCTGAATCCCCAGCTCTCAGAGTTGCTTTTACGCAGGATAATGTCTTGACAGCAATGGAGGTGACTGAAATAGAAAACAGAGAGCACTCTTTGGCTTCCATATAGAATTCCCACTTTCGTTTTTTATGTGGAGACTGTATTAACTTTCACCTTTATGGCATTCCTGGCTTAACCCCGTCTAGTGTTAGAGGAAGCTAAGCAGGAAATGCCAAGTCTGTGCTACATTTGAGCATTCCTTGAAATCAATACAATTATGAGATCATTGTCAGTAGCAGCACTGCTGCTTGAGAATCAATATCTGGTTTCTGGTGGATCATGCACCAGAAACAAAGACTGCATTCAGCATGCAGGTTCTTTGATCAAAAGCAAATACGATGTTGGAAAAGGCCACCTTGATCAAACACCCAAATCAGGGCCTTTCTTTGAAATGGAGTTTTGTACTAAACTTTAAATATATATATAGTATATGTGTAACAATATGGGCTGGAGTGGATTTTCAGAATTATAAAATGCCCTCCAAAGTCACAAAATTCCCAGCATTTGAGAATAAATTTTGGATCCCTTTCACCATCACAATATACTGTGACAAGTGAAGATGTAACACTGACCTACAAACTGCGCTTTCTAAACAAATGCTCCCTCCTCCCCTCTTTTGAAGCAATTTCCCCATACCTTAGTTCCGTCATAATACATGCTGGTCCCACTATCAGAATGCTCATCTGAAATCTCAGTTATCTGAACACAAAGAATTATACCCAAACCTCACTACACAAACAGCTGATTCAGATATCCCAAAAGTTGGAGTTTGTCCACTTCCTTAATTGTGCTGGTTGGCAGCAGCCATTTCATGCAGAAACCAGGGAGGGAGGGAGGCAGAACAGACAAATCATGGATTAGAAATGTTCTCATAGGTGTATAATGGAAATAGTCAGCTTGCTATGCGAATGCTCACATAACAAACAATTGACTGGCAACACATTGTGTTTGGAAAGTGATGCCTGAGTGTAATGGTTTGCAAACACATCTCAAACAATAGCTACAGTCACTGGTTTAGAAGAGCACTATAGTTTGTGTCAGTGCCCATGTTACATGAAGCTATGGTTAATGGCTAGAAAGGAGGTGAGAAAGGAACACACATCCAGGAAGCCTGCTCTAGCTTTGAAAACTATGTTATGCAGTGCTATGCCTGTAAAATGCTTAATTGTGACCTTGGTTGGAAAAGAACTTGGCCATTCTTTTCTCCATATAAGATTTTCAAAAATATTGTAAAAAAGTTGGGGCCAGTCCAAAAGGAGAGGGCATTTTTTCTAAACATTTTGGAACTACCAAACTGGTGATTTCTTCAAAATGGGTTGAAAGCCTTGCCCCCACACTATATGAACAACTTGCTTGTTGTCTATGCCTTCTAAAATAGAAAAGGTATAAACAGTCCTCAAATCAACAGTCAAAGAGAAGCTGGCTATTGTTTCCAAATCAACACTCTCTACAGTCACTCGTTCTAATGCCACCCAACACTCCACTCCATTCCCCTTCTGTCAATCATGCCTCCACTAGCTCTTCTGCTGCAACTATGCTGTGTATTTTTGAAGCCCCGACCTGGCCACAGTGATCCATGCGACGGTCATCTCCAGGCTTGACTACTGTAATTCGCTCTACGCGGGGCTGCCCTTGAAGCTGTCCCAGAAACTCCAGCGGGTGCAGAATGCTGCAGCGAGGCTCCTCACGGGGTCTCTGCCATGGCAGCATATTCACCCAGTGCTTTTCAAACTGCACTGGCTCCTGGTAGAGTACAGGGTCAGATTTAAGGTGCTGCTTTTGACCTTTAAAGCCATTCACGGCCTAGGACCCTTGTACCTACGGGACTGCCTCTCCCAGTATGCCCCACGGAGAGCCTCAAGGTCCATAAATAGCAACACCCTAGTGGTCCCGGGCCCTAAGGAAGTTAGATTGGCTTCAACCAGAGCCAGGGCCTTTTCAACTCTGGCTCCGGCCTGGTGGAACGCTCTGTCTCATGAGACCAGGGCCCTGCGGGATCTGATTTCTTTCCGCAGGGCCTGTAAGACAGAGTTGTTCCACCTGGCCTTTGGCTTGGAGCCAATTTGATTCCCTCCCTCTCTTTCTTTTTTCCTTTCCTTCTCCTCCCGCGATGAGGCTACATTTTAATATTTTAATGGTTCAATATTTTAATGTTGTATTTTAATTTTGTTTTTAAGTTGTATTCATTAACTTGTTTTTATTATTGCTTGTAAGCCGCTCTGAGCTCGGCCTTGGCTGGGGAGGGCGGGGTATAAATAAAAATTATTATTATTATTATTACAATGGAGTGGTATCACATATTATGGACAAAGGAGAGATGCAGGAGTCTTTGATGGCAAACTCACTTTTGTCTTCACATCTGGCAGCATCTTCCTGGAGTATATTTTATAGCCTGAATCCACAAAGGCCACATCAACTTGATGTTGATTCTGCCTTCTGTCTCCTGGATCCTTGCCCATCCTGGCTTATAAAAGCTAGCCGGGAAGGACTGGGCGATGGGCTTCGTGGGGTGGTGAATGCTTCCCTCCATGAGGGAGCCTTCCCAGACCCACTGAAAGAGGCGGTTATTAAACCGCTTCTTAAAAAACCATCTTTAGATGCAGCCACGATGGCCAACTATCGCCCAGTCTCAAATCTTCCATTCTTGGGCAAGGTGATTGAGCGAGCGGTTGCCGAACAACTCCAGGCACGCCTGGAAGAAGCGGACCATTTGGATCCCTTCCAGTCGGGATTCAGGCCTCATCATGGGACTGAAACTGCCTTGGTCGCACTGGTTGATGATCTCCGGCGGGCTAGGGACAAAGGTGAGAGCTGTTTCCTAGTTCTGCTGGATCTCTCAGCGGCGTTTGATACCATCGATCATAACATCCTTCTGGATCGTCTTCAGGGGCTGGGAGCTGGAGGCACTGTTATACAGTGGTTCCGCTCCTTCCTCCTGGGCCGGGTTCAGAAAGTGGTGGTGGGGGATGAGTGTTCAGACCCCTGGGCCCTCACTTGTGGGGTGCCTCAGGGTTCGGTCCTCTCCCCCATGCTTTTCAACATCTACATGAAGCTGCTGGGAGAGATCATCAGGGGATTTGGGCTGGGTGTTCATCAGTATGCAGATGATACCCAGCTCTACCTCTCTTTTAAATCAGAACCAGTGAAGGCAGTGAAGGTCCTGTGTGAGTGCCTGGAGGCGGTTGGAGGTTGGATGGCGGCTAACAGATTGAGGTTGAATCCTGACAAGACAGAAGTACTGTTTTTGGGGGACAGGACGCGGGCAGGTGTGGAGGATTCCCTGGTCCTGAATGTGCCCCTGAAGGACCATTTGCGCAGCCTGGGAGTCATTCTGGACTCACAGCTGTCCATGGAGGCACAGGTCAAATCTGTGTCCAGGGCAGCTGTTTACCAGCTCCATCTGGTACGTAGGCTGAGACCCTATCTGCCTGCAGACTGTCTCACCAGAGTGGTACATGCTCTGGTTATCTCCAGCTTGGACTACTGCAATGCACTCTACGTGGGGCTACCTTTGAAGGTGACTCGGAAACTACAACTAATCCAGAATGCGGCAGCTAGACTGGTGACTGGGGGCGGCCGCCGAGACCATATAACACCGGTCTTGAAGGACCTACATTGGCTCCCAGTATGTTTCCGAGCACAATTCAAAGTGTTGGTGCTGACCTTTAAAGCCCTAAACGGCCTCGGTCCAGTATACCTGAAGGAGCGTCTCCACCCCCATCATTCTGCCCGGACGCTGAGGTCCAGCACCGAGGGCCTTCTGGCGGTTCCCTCATTGCGAGAAGCAAAGCTACAGGGAACCAGGCAGAGGGCCTTCTCGGTAGTGGCGCCCGCCCTGTGGAACACCCTTCCAGCAGATGTCAAAGCGATAAACAACTACCTGACATTCAGAAGACATCTTAAGGCAGCCCTGTTCAGGGAAGTTTTTAACGTGTGATATTTTACTGTATTTGTGGTTTTTATGGAAGCCGCCCAGACTGTCTGGGGAGGCCCAGCCAGATGGGCGGGGTATAAATAATAAATTATTATTATTATTACTTCTAAGACAGAGTGGATCAGTTCAATCAAGCTATGATTTCTAATAATTGGTAAACATAGGTTAGAACTCAAACCATTGTTTCAAAACATCTGAGAGGTAGGAAAATATGGTTTATTTTAATAACTTTTAAAAAAGACATATTTAAAAGGCTTTTAGACCATTTTTTAAGCAAAGATGCCACTCAAACAGGTTTGCAGCTACATACAAATATAAATCCCTAAACTTCAATTTTTAAACCAGTTAAAAGTAATATCCAATTCCATCTCACAAATATGCAAGTCAGTGTACCAACAAAAAGCCCATCTAGCACATTAAAAAAGCCAGCATTTGGCAACACAAATTAGCCTCCCAAAGCCATGGTAAGAAAATGGATATTTAAGGCCCATTTAAATGAGCAAAGGGAGGTGATTTGCTTTACATCAGTTGAATTCCTTAACTGGGGAATGGGCTGACTTGTTTGTCTTCCTTTGCATTCTGTGCTCTAAATTTTATAAATTTACTCTCGCCTGCAGTTTCTGGGAAAAAGCAGGGCAATGGCCCTAATCATGGTTTGTTAATTCAGATATCAGGCCAAACCATAGTTAAGCTAATTTTGGTTCAATCTCTTAGTCACTGATTTCTCAGTACATTTTAGAATTCTTTTCTTTTAAAAATACTTTCAAGCATCACTTTCCAAAGGCACGACTGGGAGTACTGAAAGCTTTGGTTTTCTTATGTGCTTTAGTTTCATAGGCAAGACTAATTGATCAAAGCAAGTCATACTTTCGTTTACAATATTTTAACCAAAATAGATCAACTAAAATGTAACTAACATACTGTTACTGGGAAAATTTCCCAGAGTGACATCAAGCAGAAAGACTTACCTAGGCAATCCAAGCCACATGATCCAGAGAGGAGCCCAGCTAGCCCAGCTAAACCCACTTTCCCTGGTATCTGGTGCCTCAGTAAATTCAGATGTCTTTTCCGTTACCACAATTTCCAAGGCTTTCAATGTCACTGTGTGCAGTGCTGCATTTGATTTCAGCGCAGAGACTGCTTCACTGTAGTTAAGATGAGTCAGATCAACATTGTTTATACTCAGCAGTACATCTCCTGTTTTGTAAAAAAAAAAAAGGACGAGTTATAATATATAACATTATATTTATAGGTAAAAAGGTAAAGGACCCCTGGATGGTTAAGTCCAGTCAAAGGCGACTATGGGGTTGTGGTGCTCATCTCGCTTTCAGGCCAAGGGAGATGGCATTTGTCCACAGACAGCTTTCCGGGTCATGTGGCCAGCATGACTAAACTGCTTCTGGTGCTACAGAACACTGACAGAAACCAGAGCGCACGGAAATGCTGTTTACCTTCCCACCGCAGTGGCACCAATTTATCTACTTGCACTGGTGTGCTTTTGAACTGCTAGATTGGCAGAAGCTGGGACAGAGCAACAGGAGCTCACCCCGCGGGGATATATATAAATATATATAAAAACACCATTTCTTTGTACAGTCATACCTCATGTTGTGTCCGCTTCAGGTTACGTGCTTTTATGTTGCGTCCCGCGGCAACCCGGAAGTACCGGAATGGATTACTTCCAGGTTTCGCCACTCGTGCATGCACAGAAGCACTAAATCGCACCATGCGTGTGTGCAGATGCGGCACTTTGGTTTGTGTCAGTTCCATGTTACGGGCGGGCCTCTGGAACAGATCCCGTCTGTAACACGAGGTTCCACTGTATAGCTATTTAAACCTTTGCAATTTCCTTAGTACAAAATGACATGGCACTTTGTTCTCTTAATGCTAGCCCATGTACCAAATTTAAAAAGCAGGCACTCCAAAGCATCTTACCTCTTTTAATTCTACCATCTCTGAAGAGGCATCCAACAGGCTGTACGCTAGTTACATAAATAGGGAGTTTATTTTTACTGTCTCTTCCACCTCCAATAGTTATTCCCAGAGATTCTTTTGGCTCCTTCTTTATGTTAACTAACTTCTCCTGGCTGAGGTAACCTTGAGGGAGTGCCTGAAAGAGGAGAATGGAGAGAAATAACAGCATGTATATTAATAAGATAGCAAAAAACAGGATGTGGGGGGAAATAACTCCATGAAGCTAGTGTTTTAAAACCCTGATATTTTAGGATAAGGAATCACCACTTTTAGCTATTTCTGCTCTATCTCTCTCCCTCTCTCTCTCCCCGCCTCCCACCCTTAAGGGATTAAGGGCTGTGTGATGATCATCTATTTAGAAATAGCTAAAGAGAATGGGAAATGGATGGGAATAAACTATTGGGGATGCACACTTTGTTTCCAACTTTAGCACCTCTTTCACAGAAACCAGGACCCCATGTGACCCAGATGATACTACATATGGTTACTCAATATTTTAATACACTGAATGACTAGATCATATTTGCCCTTGTTGTGTGCACAGCATGGAGTAGTAACTGGCTATAGTATTTCCGCAGCATACACATGATTTTTGTGGTGTTATTTAATGGATATGTGCTTCCAAGTTATAAGAGTTTTAGCAGTCAGGCAGTGTGGATCCAACATGAATGAACAATAATCATAATCAAAATTTGGGAAATTGATATATATATGAAAAGCAATAGAATATGACAACTATATCAATCACATAGTGATTAAACTGCAACTGCTTTTGGCTCACATTCTACAGGGAAGTCTGTAGATTCCTACTAATAATTTCAAATTACAAAACCAATTAGTGCCTTTCTGCCTAACAGTGAAGCCCTCCCACTTACTCTCCCATGCAGTGGAAAGCACTTGGCTGGCATTTAGCCATGTTTTGAAGTTGGCTTGTTAAGAAGCTGACCAGCTTGATTTTAAACCAAAAGCTTTGGTTCGTTAATTGGGATTCTGTGAAAATGAAACTAAATGCTAGTATGAACTCAAGGCTTTTAATGGTTTTGTTCCTGCTTGCGTACACAGCACTAAACTACTGCTGTGTGAACAAACCCAATTACTACCAAGTTCCAATTAACATTTTCAGTTCACCTTTCTCAACATAAAGGTAAAGGGACCCCTGACCATTAGATCCAGTCGTGGCCGACTCTGGGGTTGCGGCGTTCATCTCGCTTTATTGGCCAAGGGAGCCGGCGTACAGCTTCCGGATCATGTGGCCAGCATGACTAAGTCGCTTCTGGAGAACCAGAGCAGCACACAGAAATGCCGTTTACCTTCCCACCGGAGCGGTACCTATTTATCTACTTGCACTTTGACGTGCTTTCGAACTGCTAGGTTGGCAGGAGCAGGGACCGAGCAACGGGAGCTCACCCCGTCGCGGGGATTTGAACCGCCACCTTCTGATCAGCAAGTCCTAGGCTCTGTGGTTTAACCCACAGCGCCACCCGCGTCCCTCCAATGGTTCTAATGGTAATGAAGATCATTATAACCAATGTGAGGGCAGGTCAGTATGGAGCACAATTGAAAATCTTACCTCTAACCCCAAATTAACCAACACTACCCTATAAAACTCAAGAAAAAAGTGTTTTTAAAAGTCCAGTCATCCTGTCAGGCCATGAGGAAGGAATGTAATAAAATGAATATAGGAGAGATAAATTTCTTGCACAAACAGCTTTATGACAGCATCAAACTATAAAGCACTTGACTGAAAAATTAAAACACCACATGAAAGGTTCTCAACCAGTTCAATAAGTTTTTTTCCACACATAAGGCAATTTAAATAAACAACAATCTGCAAGGGACTGTCATCAGAATGACACTCTGTTCAAGTTCCCCTTACAAGAGGAGGGGAGAGCATCTGGTTATGTTTCTATAAGGGTTGTCAGGATGGCAGGTTTCAAGATTAATGTATTAATCTTCTACTCTCAAAGCATATCACAAAGTACAATTATTGTGGTGTGGGGAGCCTGAAACCTATAGAGAGCAATGAAATTTAGCATTACTTCCTTTTAGAAATTTACTTTGCTCTTTGGAACAACTAAAACATCTTGAAAATCCTTCTTAGAATGCATTTTAGCAATGTGGAATAGCATTAGAGGTTTTTACAATCTGGATTTCCACATTTAAAAGATTGAATAATCAGGGGTTTACCAATTTATTTTGTGGGTATTTACAACAGTTAGCCAACAACAAAAATACAGTAAATGTAACAGATCTTTTTTACACACTCCAAAATTAATGAAGGTATTGAGGCCAACAGCTACATGATATTAAACAGGTGATAATAAACATAGCCTGTTCTAGTCCTACTTATGCTATTGCACCCTATTCTCACTTATTATTCCAAAACTTACTACCTACATAGGCTACTTTAGAGGAAGAAGCCATTTTCCCATCAGGATCTCTTCTCTCCCCTACCTTCACCCATTCCAGACACCTTCCACTAGCTTTTAACTGAAGAAGAATCTTCATTTGCTCCACATCCATCCCAATGGAGAAACTTCATTTTGGTAAAGAGCAGGCACCCCCAAATTTGGCCCTCCAGCTGTTTTCAGACTGCAGCTCCCATCATCCCTAGCTAACAGGACCAGTGGGCAGGGATGACGGGAATTGTAGTCCCAAAACAGCTGGAGGGCCAAGTTTGGGAGTGCCTTCACACTCCCCCTGACTGGTGGTTGTCATCTAACCAAATCTAAACACTATCAGTCCTACTCAAGCAAAAAAACAACTTTCAAGCCAAATTATACTCCTATTCAGGTGTGCTTGGGGAAGAGGTAGGGGCGCATGTGCCAGTCCCACCCCCAACATCCCATTCCTATGTTCAATGCTTTATTATTAATTATTTTTATTATTACAAATAATTTATTAATCACCTTTTAAACCACCATCTCAAGGTGATTTATACATAACCTTTCTGTATTGATCAGGAACCCTGATAAAATTTTATTGACCCATTTTACTAGTGTTGTTAGGGACGCGGGTGGCGCTGTGGGTAAGCCTCAGTGCCTAGGGCTTGCCAATCGAAAGGTTGGCGGTTCGAATCCCCGCGGCGGGGTGCGCTCCCGTTGTTTGGTCCCAGCGCCTGCCAACCTAGCAGTTCGAAAGCACTCCCGGGTGCAAGTAGATAAATAGGGACCGCTTACTAGCGGGAAGGTAAACGCTGTTTCCGTGTGCGGCTCTGGCTCGCCAGAGCAGTGATGTCACGCTGGCCACGTGACCCGGAAGTGTCTCCGGACAGCGCTGGCCCCCGGCCTCTTGAGTGAGATGGGCGCACAACCCTAGAGTCTGTCAAGACTGGCCCGTACGGGCAGGGGTACCTTTACCTTACAAGTGTTGAAGACCATACTCTCAGTTAAAACTGAACAGCAGCATGGCCCAACAAGCCATGTGACCTTCATGAACCAAGCATGTCCTTTAAAATATGCTCTGGAATTTTCTGCAATGGAACACTGAGATGCCATGGCAAACACACAGTGGTTTCATCAATAATGAGTCTATGGGTTGTTGTTGTTTAAAGGATTTCTTGAGTGTAGAAAGCCGGGGCGGGGCGGGGGGGCTGGAGAGACCCTGTTCAGAAGACAGTTTCTTTTCCTGTAAAAAATATTAGACCTATAAGCAAAATCTACATCATTTGCTCAGGAGATCATGAATGTGGAGTTGTTTTTAATATAAACCCATATTTTATCACTCACCGTCTGGCCTTTTCTCATATCTGGTGGTACTATTTGCATAATACCCAGTACTCAAGGAATCAAGCCAATCCCTACCCAAAACCAGAACTTAAAATCACCAATACCTTCTGGTAATTGGACTTCCATCGATAATGATTCTGTTCAGGTCTTCTGCGACGATGCACTGGGCTTCCTCCACTGCTACTGCTGCTGGTGTTTGATGCGCTGCCATCTTCAACAGTTTCTGGGAGTTGCACACCAGACTGATGGAGAACAACAAAGTTTACTCTCGCTTCACAAGTCTGTCAAGAAAGCCAAAAAGGAAGGAAGCTTAAAAAGATAATGTTCAAGCATGCAAATTTGCAGGATCTCTCCAGTGTGTCACTAGAAAAATTATAATAGGTGATTTGTATATTATAATGTACATATTATATTAAGTTATATATATTGAGACAGAGTCTCAAACAAATAAGTGCTTTTCTAAGCCCATATTCCCAGATCTACACTGGCTTGGTCATGTACATAGAATGGAAGATGGCAGGATCTCCAGTGGTATGCTCAGTGCTTTTTCTCTAGAAAACTAGTTGCCGGTACTCACCATGAAAGTGTTACTCTAAGTGTCACACTTTTTAACACCCCCTCCCCCAAAAAGAGGTGCAGGTACATGAAGTAGTTACATAAGTGCCACACTTTTTAACAACAAAAATAGAAGTGCTGGTACTGCGTACGCTTGAGTGCCCCCCGAGGGGGGGGGCCGGGAAGCACTGGCTAAACGTGATCTGACATGAAGGCTGGCAACATTAATCCCACCATATGGGAATCCCTTGCAGATGGCCGTAGTGCCTGGAGACGACAGCAAAAACCAAAGGAGAAATGACTGCTGGGAGGAGCGCAGAGAGAAGAAACATCATGGTGTATCTGCCCCAGCAAAACCAGACACCTGCATCCGCCCCAGCTGAAATAAAACATGTCTCTTCCATGCTGGTCTCTACAGCCACAACAGGAGCTGTAACTCTCCAACGGTTTACTTTACCCCCGATGGCACACACTTCCACTGTCTCTTGAGAAAGATGCCAACAATATAATAATATAATTATAATATGAATGCTGAAGTTAGTTCAGCACTTGGCTGCCAGGTTCTTTTAAAGTTCCAGTGCAGATACAAGACTGCCTCCCTCCAAATTATGGTTTACAAACCAGGAGACAACCCTTGCTTACTCATATTTCAATCAACGCCTATCTAATTCTAAAACTTGACATATCAAGCACAGGACAGCACTGCAACGAAGTGGGCAAACAGAGTGGATTGATTTAAATATTCAACAGGAAGCACTAATTTAAACTCTTCACTTGTATAGCTTACAGGCATATTGCATTAAAACAGAAATGAGAGGGGCAAACTGTGAAATCAATTTATTTTTGTTTGTGTGTCTATACATAGAGTATATGCAAAGACAACGAGCTGAACTTCCAAGTTTGCAAAAGGAAGAGACAGATCACAGCTTTGTTGTGCGAGTTAAAAATAAATAGTAAATAAACCAGGTTCAATTATCATCAATAAAAAGATCCCACTTGCAGTTCTGGGAAAGAGATCTCTTCATATTACCAAGGCTTCCCTCTTGCAACATTTGAAAATTCAGATAAGTTTAATTAGAGTGTTGACTGTGGCACTCCTTAAAGCAAGTGGTGGGGAATCTTTTTCAGCCAGAGTGCTAACATTCTGGGGGCCAAAGGCAAAAAGTGCCCATGGCAACAAATACAACACTTACCTTTGTAAAGCAATCTGGAGAGCCAAATTCAACCACAGGCCCCAAATTCCCCATCTGTGACTTAGTTACCTGGATTATCTGTGCAGCTGCTTCAGGAGTTCCCTGTCTTAGATCCTGGCCATTTATAGAGAGAACTTTATCATTCCGACTAAGTTTCCCATTTTTGGCTGCCAAGCCTCCATCTAGAAGGTCCAGAATGAAAATCCCAGGCTCATCTGTTTTTCTGATCAATTTGATGCCAAGAGGTTCAGATCGGTCTCTCTTTACAAGGGTAACATGGATCACTTCCTGGTTTACTGAACGGCTGGAATCCAGTTGCCCAGTTCTGGTGGTAAACCCTTTCTCTTGCAGTACTATGAAGTGAAACACAGCACAGCGCTGACGCAGTAAGGAGACAGCTTGAGCATGTGTCACACTGCTGATGTTGACGCCGTTCACCTTGGAAGGAAATAAAAACAAAGAGTTGATCACTATACTACCTAGTACAGAGCCTTGTACTATGATACCCTGTCCCTCCCTTCTTCCAGGAAAAAAAGAAAAAGAAAATATAGAATAAGAGCAATGAAGGGAGATAGATCGCCCTTCACAGGAGCAGTTCATTTCCTCAAGAATTTCTTTCATTTTTAAAAAATCATTTCTCTTTTTACAACTGAAGCAATAAGAATAATCCAAATATAAAACACACAATTATTTTCAACTTCCCTTCCCCCCTTCCATGGTTCATTTTATTAATTTCTTTTCCATTACATATTCTAATTTTCCCAACATTTTCTTTTTCTCAATTTTATATCTCAATAATTCTTACTGCTGAATTTACTCTATTACTGTTAACTTTTTAATATGTTTACATTAGTTTTTCAAATAGTCTACAAAACATTTCCATTCTTCTTTAAATACTTTTTCATCCTGGTCTCTTATTCTGTTTGTCAAACTTGCCATATCTATATACTCTATTAACTTCATCTGCCATTCTTCCTTTGTTAGTATTGTAACTTCTTTCCACTTCAGAGCATATACCATTCATGCTGCTGCTGTTGTATACATAAAAAGTGATTTCTGGTCTTTAAATACACTTATGTCTATTATACCTAAAAGAAACATTTCTGGGCTTTTAACAAATGTCTTTTGAAACATTTTCTCCCAGTTCATTATATATAATATCCCAGTAAGTCTTAACTTTTTGCATGTCTACCACAGATGATAAAATGTACCTTCTTTTTCTTTACATTTCCAACAGATATGTGATTCAGATTTATACATCTTAGCTAATTAACTCGATGTCAAGATACCACCTGTAAATCATTTTCATAAAGTTCACCCTCAATGTGTAACATGCTGTAAATTTTTTTTAAAAAAATTCCATAGTTTCTCCCATGCACTCATATCTATATTATGACCTATATCTCTTGCCCAGTGAATCATAGCTGATTTTACCAGTTCATCTTTTGTTTCCCATTCTAATAATAACTTGTACATTTTGAAAACCACTTTTCCTTTACTCTCAATAATCTTTCTTTCAAAATGTGAGCTTTGGGTCATAAAACCCCTCCACCTGTCCTATCTAAACAAATCATTTATCTGATGATACTGCAACCAGTCCGTTCCTGCCTCTCCAATTTTCTCAGCAATTTTTATTTCTCTATTATATCTTAATCAGGAGAGGCTATGCATGTTTTAAACTGGAGCTTGGACGCAGTCATAGGCTGGATGAGGGCAAAGAAGCACACGGACTGAATCCTGCTAAAACAAAAGCTCTTTGGGTGATAGGGCTGGGTGATATCTGGTTTTCAAAAGCACGATATATCACCAGCTAAACATCATGATATACAAATATATCACAATGCCTAAAAATTAAGAAGAATAATTTATTATTTATACCTCAGCCATCTGGCTGGGTTTCCCCAGCCACTCTGGGCGGCTTACAGCATATATAAGGTAAAGGTAAAGGTACCCCTGCCCGTATGGGCCAGTCTTGACAGACTCTAGGGTTGTGCGCCCATCTCACTCAAGAGGCCGGGGGCCAGCGCTGTCCGGAGACACTTCCGGGTCACGTGGCCAGTGTGACATCGCTGCTCTGGCGAGCCAGAGCCGCACACGGAAACGCCGTTTACCTTCCCGCTAGTAAGCGGTCCCTATTTATCTACTTGCACCCGGGGGTGCTTTCGAACTGCTAGGTTGGCAGGCGCTGGGACCGAATAACGGGAGCGCACCCCGCCGCGGGGATTCAAACCGCCGACCTTTTGATCGGCAAGCCCTAGGCACTGAGGCTTTTACCCACAGCGCCACCCGCGTCCCTACAACATATATAAAACATAGTAAAATATCAAACATTAAAAACTTCCCAATACAGGGCTAACTTGAGATGTCTTCTAAAAGTTATGTAGTTCATCATCTCTTTGACATCTGAAGGGAGGGCGTTCCACTGGGAAGGCGCCACTACCAAGATGGTCTTCTGCCTGGTTCCCTGTAACTTTGCTTCTCGCAGTGAGGGAACCACCAGAAGGCCTTTGGAGGATGTAACTATGTAGAGGCAAACAGGGCAATGTCCTGGCAACTGCTACTACAACTTAAAGGTCTAAAACTGATAAATGTTTACCTTAATATATTGTTACAACTGTTATTTTATAGTACATATTATTTTTAAATTAGCACATTTTCTATAAAATGTGGAGGGAAACTTTTTAGGGAGAACCACATCTTCAGCATCTTGCAATCTTGGCAAATCCTTTTTTTTTTAATACAGACATGAAGGAGTCCAATAGATTCTAAATATTATTTTCTGCTGTATTAGTCTTAATTTAAGATTAAGTCTCAGAAAGTTGCTGGGCTATACAAACTAGTTAGGAGATGTTGTAACTGAAGGTACTGCCACTGGGCCCCATCTGGTAGATGATATTTTTGTCTTAAAACAATATAACTGTAAAACTCATCTTCCTCATCTATCAGTTGGTCCAGAGTCGAAACACCTGCTCGCATCCAATTTTTCCATATTCTCATATTTGTAGCAATTTTTAATATTGTGTTTCCCAACAAGGTGAGTTTGGCATGTGAGTATGGATCAAATTTATTTTTATTAGATAATATGTTCCATATTTTTCTAACTGACTTAGTTGTTTCTAGAGACACCGGAGATTTCAAGTATTTTGATCCCATTATTGTCCAGCCCACTAAAGGTGCTTATATGCAAAATATGGAAAATATGGAAAATTAAAACCAACAGTGGGTTTCCAGAATTCAATACATGACAGTAAATAAGCTTCTGTGCATGTGTGATTTAGCGCTTCTGCGCATGCGGCAAACCCGGAAGTAACCCGTTCCGGTACTTCCGGGTTTGCCGTGGATGTTCACCAGAATGGACGCTAGACAAGGCAGACGTTCACAGAGGTATTACTGTACTTCTTGAAAGAATGTGTAATCAGATTTTGACCTACTGGCATCAATTCCAAATGGACCAATTAATAGCATAGCCATATATTTTACCAAAAGCATCAATCATTTGCATCAAAATGGGAATGCTAGTCTGAGGTTTCAAAATAAACAATAAAATATTGTCAGCAAATAAAACTAATTTATATTTGAATGTATTATGAACTACACTGTAAATATCACAATGCAAATGTTAAAAAGCAATGGTGAGTGTGGAAATCCTTGTCTGGTTCCTCGGGCCTGAGGAAAAGTGGCAGACATAATACCATTCACTTTGATTCTTGATGCAGGTTCTTCATACGTTACTTTAATCCATTTTATGAAATCCAATGAAAATCCAAATTTAAGTAAAGCTACTTAACGCGGGTAGTGCTGTGGTCTAAACCACAGAGCCTATGGCTTGCCGATCAGAAGGTTGGTGGTTCGAATCCCCGCAACAGGGTGAGCTCCCATTGTTCGGTCCCTGCTCCTGCCCACCTAGCAGTTTGAAAGCACATCAAGTGCAAGTAGATAAATAGGTACGCTCCAGCGGGAAGGTAAACGGCATTTCCGTGAGCTGCTCTGGTTCATCAGAAGTGGCTTAGTCATGCTGGCCACATGACCCGGAAGCTGTCTGCGGACAAACGCCGGCTCCCTCGGCCTATAGAGCGAGATGAGCGCTGCAACCCCAGAGTCGTCCATGACTGGACCTAACGGTCAGGGGTACCTTTACCTTTACTTCCATATACTGTTTATAGATTTTTGTCAAAAGCCTTTTCAGCATCTAGCGATGTGATTACAAATGGTCTTTATTTTTATTTAGAGCTACCAAATCCACCACTAATCTAATATCATCTGCAGCTTATCTTGTTTTTATAAAGCCAGTCTGGTCACTCTTGATTATCGCTGCTATTACCTGCTGAATTTTATTTGCTAGAATCACTGTTAGGATCTTTATATCAACATTGATCAAGGATATAGAGCAATAGTTTGCGCACTGTGTATGGTATTTATCTGGTTTGGGAATAACTGTAATGTAAGCTTGATTAAATATTGTTGACAAAATACCTTCATGAAGTATCTCATCATATAATTGATGAAGTTTTGGTGCCAATATATCTATATATGACTTATACCATTCAGTGGGGAATCCATCCAATCCTAGTGTTTTGTCACTTCGTCATTTTAAGGATAGTTTGATATCCACTTAAATGAATAGATTCTTATTATAGTGGATATTCTTTTCTTCCAAATCTTTACACCAGTTTAAATACTTTCAAAATGCTCCCATATATCTCCTCCCCTTGCAAACTAATTTTCAAACATGATTTTGCATTTTAGTGTCCTGGAATTGATTTGTAATTTTACTCTAAAGCCTTTTAATTATATCAAACCTACTTCCAGGATATGGTCTCCAGGCGCTATTTTTCCATCTGCAGCAACAACTGAATCCCGAAGAACTTCTTGGACAACAATGTTGCCTAGTGGGGTGTCTTTACCCCCAACTATCCGCATCCCAAGTTCTTCCTCAGGGTCTTCTCGGTGAATTTCAATTGTAGTTGTCTCTGCTAAAAGACTGGCTCTTTGGGGTAAATCTGAAAGTGAGAATCAGAGATGGGAGAGGGAAGACAAAGGAGACACACTTGTAGAACAAATCTAGAAATTTTAAATACTGGTGACCTATTTCACTGATTCTGAACAGCTCAGTATGCAAAATAAGTATAACTTTCCATTTCCTAAGACTTAATTTTCCTTTATTCCTAGCAAAACAGAAACAAAGGTGAACTATACAGGATGTTTTCAAAAGAGCACTTTTGTCCCCTCTCCTTGGTTCATCTGTGGATATGTATTGTACAAATACAGTACAATCAACAGCACCTGTGCTTATTATGGACAGAAATAAATAAACTGAAATAGAAACTTAAATAAACAGGGCTATGTATTCTACACTTCTTAAAAACTTAAATACTGCTCCAATGGAACTCCTGCACTGAGAAAATCTGAACTATGCAATCTATATAAACAATGCAAATGACTATTTGACTATTTCCTCTTATTTAGGTTTTATTATTCATAGGAGAGTAAAAAATCTATGCAAGACACTGAATCTCTGCTTACAAACTACTAGAAATCCTACAAAGCTAAAGTCGTGCCTCGCAAGACGAAATTAATTCGTTCCGCGAGTTTTTTCGTCTTGCGATTTTTTCGTCTTGCGAAGCACGGTTTCGGAAAAGTTTTGGAAAAGCTTCAAAAATCACCAGTCTTCAAAAACCTCAAAAAAGGCTACCACACCGCGTGCTATGAGTTGCTCCTCGAAGTCAAGTCGCAACTGTATTAACGGTGTTAAGAAAAAGGAAACAAACTTGCAAGACGTTTCCGTCTTGTGAAGCAAGCCCATAGGGAAATTCGGCTTGCGAAGCAACTCAAAAAACCAAAAACCCTTTCTTCTTGCGAGTTTTCCATCTTGCGAGGCATTCGTCTTGCAAGGTATAACTGTACTTATTTGGCTTCTGAGATTTCAAATGCATTGTTCACACACTTTCAAACATGTATCTTTGCAACTTACCTTTAAAAAAATTAAAAAAATAAAGTCAAGATTCTTAGAAAATTGGGTTCTGCCCCCAGTACAGCAAAACCTCAGCTCCTGAACACCTCCATTTTGGAACTTTCGGCTCCCCAACGCTGAAAACCCGGAAGTAAATGTTCCAGTTTTTGAATGTTTTTCGGAAACCGAACGTCCAGCACAGCTTCCGCTTGAGTGCAGGAAGCTCCTGCAACCAATTGCAAGCCGTGCCTCGGTTGTCGAACATTTCGGAAGCCAAACAGGCTTTTGGAATGGGTTACGTTCGACAACTGAGGTCTGACTGTACCACAATTTGAGCAGCCTTGCTTATAAAACTGTAGCTTTCGACTCTTTTACCACAAACTAATGAATTTTTGTAAACTTATCAGATGGAATGAAAACTAAAATAATTTTTGCAAAGGCAGGCTTGCTTTCTCTGACCATAGAATTCATTCTGAGAGATGAATGCATACCTTCTTCACTCCCATCAAAGGCTGGATTAATCAATCCAGGTTCCGGTGTCTCCAGGGAAACCACTGCAGCTATTGAACTTCCAGAAACAAGGGACGGCACTGCGTTCAATATCTCAGGCTCCTTTACAGTACTCGCTTCCTGTCTGGAAAGAGAATCTGCCTTCAACCTGAAGCGAGGATTCTTTTTCCTTTCAAGATGAGCTTTGAACTTCTTGAACCCAGGACACCTGCATGAGAAGGCAAACATCTATGAAAGGAGATGTATCTTTCATTACACACCATTATGATAGGGACATGAAAGTACTTCACAAAGCAACACAAGTTTTGACAACCACACAGTTTCCACTGACAGGATGGGTGGGGCGGCTGCTTTCACGTAGTTTGCCTATCCAATATGCAGATGTCATTGTCAGCTTAAATAAATCAGTAAGTTTAAGAAATCAGAGAGGAGAGAAAGCCATTACTTTCATTTGCTATGGAGTAACTCTCATTTGCTCCCTTGTTTGCTAATCAAGCACTGTATGTTATTTACAATATATGCATCTTTTAATGCATAAGCAAATATTTGGGACTGAAGAAGAGAAAAGAATTGCTGTGAATTACCGTATTTTTCGCTCTATAAGACGCACCAGACCACAAGACGCACCTAGTTTTTGGAGGAGGAAAACAAGAAAAAAAATATTCTGAATCTCAGAAGCCAGAACAGCAAGAGGGATCGCTGTGCAGTGAAAGCAGCAATCCCTCTTGCTGTTCTGGCTTCTGGGATAGCTGCGCAGCCTGCATTCGCTTCATAAGACGCACACACATTTCCCCTTACTTTTTAGGAGGGAAAAAGTGAGTCTTATAGAGCAAAAAATAGGGTAAGCATATTGGTAGTCCAAGCCTTTAGTTTTCAAGAGGTGACCATATATTTTCTAATGATTTCTGTCAAGTCAATTATATAACAGGTTACAGTGATTCATTTATTTAAGTTTGCTTAGCTCAAAGAATTTTTTTCAACTTCAGCTTTGTCTAGGGCTGCCAAGGAATGAACAAGACAGCAAATTTAGACTCCCAGATGCATTAGAGCTTAGTGTTATTGGGGGGGGGGGCGTGCACATTGATGAGTCAAAATGAGGACTTGTTGGCACTAAGTTTGCATTTATGTTAATAAGGATCCCCCTTTTTTCTTTGGTTTATCAGTGATGCTGCCAAGTATTATCATTAGTGTGTATTTAAGTTTTGACAATTAGGGCAAAAATTAACTAGGAAGCATCTCATCCTCTAAATTTAAAAAAACCCATAAGCTAGTGGTGAACTACTATATCTCCAGTGTAGCTTTATATTTGACTCAGCATCCGTATTCCTCAACTCAAAAGTTTCCATACAGCCCACCAAAGCACTATGACCAAAATCCTCAAGCCATATACTTCGGAAATACTCTTCAATGATACTGATTCAGAAGAACATTAGAACTACACTCTATTTAGTTAGGAGAACCATGTTTCAGAGGAAGCGTAACTATTCATGTTTATTTGAGACTCTGTACCAGGTGTTACCAGGTGGGTTTAAGTCTTAAATGTAAATAGATTATCCATTTATAACCCATTGGCTCAATTTAAAAGCCAAATTAGCAGCAGTCTCACATATTTTCTTCCATCCTACTCTCTCTTGGCTTCACTTTCAGCTTGCAGAGATGGCAAATGTTCAAACTACTGTTTGTGTTGAATAAGATAAGAGTCAAGCCAACTGAGAAGGAGGGAAGTCACAAATCCATGGCCCATTTCCAGGATAGTCTGATTTGAACTACTGTTTCTGTTTATTAATTTATTAGATGTATATCCTGCTCTTCCTTCCAAAGGTGCCTAGGGTGGCAGCCAAACAAAAAATAAATCAAAACATCTAAAAAATGTTTTTTCAGAATAACAAGCTGTCCACACATCAGCTTGAGGAAGGGTGAGTTGTACCCAATGCACATCCTACTCAGAGTAGACTCACTCAAAATAATGAACGTGACTAATTTAGGTCCATTAGGTCTACTCTGAGTAAAACTTAGTTGGAGACAACTTAATCATTTTTGGGTCAGTTAAGGATTGATACAGGGCTCATTAAATACATAGCCTAATTAGAAACAGTTAATAAGGTCTTAGTTCGCCAAAACATTATAAAATTAAGAGATTGAGGACAAAATATTAGAATATTTTAAATTTTTGGACTTTATTTGCAATGCTGTTTTACAAATTATGAATTTTTTTGGTATTTTTAAAAAATAAATATTTTTTAGTGTGCACTATATCAGAAAAAAATAACTTTTTAAAAAAGTAACATTCAGACATACCCAAATTCTAACTCAATTGCCATCTGGACAGTCTTCAGTCAGTCTGGCTGTATCAGCACCAGTCTGCTATGTTACACCTTAATGGCTAACTTATAGGATGATTTGTCTTCAGATCCATTATCAACATAGTTAACTAGGAGCAAAGATATTTACAGCTACAGAAAAAAAGTGTGTTGTTCTGCTAGAAACAAACACGTAGCCTTCAAATTACTGAAACATGTTTGCTCTTTTTATTAGCTCATGATATGTATGTTAAACCCAAGATAGGTTCTGTTTAGAATCTAGTACTGAAATAAATGTTATAGGCACACCACAACCTACAGTGGAAAGGCTGTAATACATGCAGGTGCCACTACTGGAAAGCTCGGTATCTGAAATCTCTGTTATCTGAACACAAAGAATTCAAATAACCAATCAGCTAGAGTTTGCCACTTCTTTCTTGTGTTTTGCTGGTTGATGGAAACTATTTCAAGGGGGCAGGGAGAGAGATTGGAGAATCAGGGAGGAGAGCTGTTCTCCCTTTGTTTGGTCTTTCCTGATTGGCTGCAGCGATCTCAGGCAGAAACCAGGGAGGGATAGAGAAGAGACATCTCATGGATTAGAAATGTTCCCATAGGAAATAATAGAAATTATCAGCTTGTTGTGTGAATACTTGCCAAATGAACAATTAAAGTCCAATTAGACCAGCAGTTCTTCACATGCAGGTGCTTGTGAGAGTCATCAGCAGCTTTGCAACTTAACAGTACAATCCTAACCTTGTCTACTCAGAAGTGAGGCTAAGATTGTAGTAAAAAACTTCCTATGTTTGACAATGTAAAAACATTTTTGTTGAAACTATCCATATAGCTTTCTTCACTAGTCAAAATTTTAATTTAGAGAAAGATGGCTTACATTAGCACATACACATAACATAAGACTATGATTATGTCAGGAAAGGAAAGGGGAATTAAAATTACTCCAGAAAGAGGAAGGATGGCACTTTCATAAGACTGGCCCGCTATTTAAAACACCCACACAGAAACATACTATATTGGTCTAACCTGCTTGCCAGACGAACTCAGAGGCTGTTAAAAATAAATGAAGGATTAACATCGGATTGTTTTATTGGAACTATCTGGACTAATTAAGAGAAGCAGCATAAATGTGAGATCATCATCACCCCCCAAACCTCAGGGCATGGAAAGCTAACCAGAGACTTATAATTTGGCATAAAATTTGGATTGTTTGATTATTGTATAATTTGGAATGTTATTAATGTGGTTTTTATTGGATTGTTAAAATAGAAAATTTAATAAATATTATTATAAAAAAAGAAACAGAAAACTTCCACATGAATACATACATTCGAAAAATGGGAACTAGCCCATTAACATATTTTAGCAGTCAAGCGATCTATTTCTTAACCAAGAATGCTGCCCAGTTGCCCTCTATTGTTAATATATACAATATTCAGGCCAAAAATAAACAGAAATTATAAGATACTAATAAAGGTGAAGGAGCCAGAGAGGATAAGATGCAAGTATAGTTAATGGCACTACTGAACCATATACACACCTGTTTTGCAAGTGAGCCTCTAACTCACACCGTTGCATAGTGTGCTTACAATCTTCTTGAAAGGGGCAGAGGACAATGAGCTTATCAAGTAAATTCCGCACTAAAAGGGAAGACTTCCGGCACTGCTGGAAGGACAGCTTTTTCCGATCCATAGGGCAGAAGTCATACTCCTGCATGAAGTTCTCAAGGCACTTAAAACAGTATGTGTGTCCACAAGGTGTGTCCATAGGCTGCAGCAAAGGCTGAAGGCAAATATGGCAAGTGAGCTCATCATCCACTTCATCCTGGAAGTTATAAAGATGATTGTCTAGCAACAAGTGGAGCTGCCCACACTCATGGCACCGTTCTCCAAGTTTGAAGTCGGGTTCTTCTCCTGCAGTCTCAGCCATGGCACCCAACATCTGGCGTGTTTACAATCAGGGGGCAAGGCAGGTCTTTTGGCAGTAGTGAAGAGAAGATACCTAAAATGAAGAAACGAATGCTTATCAGAATGTTACACCAGCAGACTGATCCAAGTCTGGTCTTCTGGGAGAAAGCTGTGAGGTCACTCTTTTCCTTGCCTGTTTTGTTTAAGTACACTTTTAAAAGTTTATCTTTGATGATATAAGGGCCAATATGTTTAACAAAAAAGTGGTAGACATTATCTTTCAAATTTTATCCATGAAATTCTCACCAGGGCAGCCTCAATAAGAAAATGATTGAGGGCAAATGATAGTGCTTTTCTATGGTTAGAGATCTTCCCCTGCAATGTGCACTTCATGTGAGGTCATTAATTAGTCTGACTTTACATTCTCTGCCTTGTGGCTTGGGTTGGTAAACCTTTACTGATGTGAATAAGAACTATGAATCACTGTTCAGTAACAGTGGCAGGAGTTGTGTGAAATGTGTTAAGTCAACAAATTATCCCAGTATTTCCAACTACAGGAGGTGCTGCAAAGGATCTTTACAGAACAAATTCTGCCCCTTCCTACTTGATAAGGTAGAAAGGAAAAATTTTAAATTAGGTAATATTTCAAACCATCAAATCAATTTTTAATTAAAAAGATGAGATCACTACTTTACTCTGCAATGTATACAAATTTCATGTAGTAAAAAATACAATATTTACATATAAGTAATGTACTTTAGATAACTGAAGACATTTGTTTGTAAGGCCATTTAAAATTACCTGCAATTGATCCACTCTCCACCCACCCAGTTAAGACTGATGTCATTGGGTACATTAATGCTACTTTTGCAACTTGTGATCCAATTCAAAACTCATTTTCAGTCTGCTGACAGATTTATTGCTTGACATTGACAAAGCTGTCTGAGAAGAGATGCTTTTAAGCTGAGCAGTTTTGCAACTATAAACAGATACAGATATTTGTGTCACTTCCTTAGACAATTTCTAATACAAACTTAGAAGAGAATATTTTTGTTATCACCCAAACATCTTATAATACACATTCAAGAAGATTATTAACTTTGCAAGCAGTTAACACCCTTCATTAAGTAACTAAAGTCATATTCAGCAAATATTCATTGTGACCCTTGCAGATGGTAATTATAAACAAAGTACAAACCCTCAGTAAAATATCTAACTCTAGTGTATTTATGTAACTTTATTTTACATTTCCAACCTAGCCCATTTCATAATCACATAATAAAGATATATTTTACATCTGTTTTTAATATTTGTTATGATAGAGACTCATAACAATTTATGAAGAAAGAGACTGGTCAACAGGGCAGAGATGCAATGAAAAAGGACTAAAAATATGTTGTGGGAGAAATTGACATTATAGAATTGACATGTGTGAGAGAAGGGTTGAGGAAATGAATGTGAATATTGTGTTTGCAGGAGAAACTGCTGGAAGGAGGAGGTAAGGCTGAAGTCTGTTGCTATGTCAGAAGGCAGTTGATATGCCACATGACTTAGCCAGACACATAGCTGTTGTTTAGGAATTCTTAAAGTATAAATATTGCTGTATCTTCTATCCAATGAGGCACTTTCCTCTCGGCCTAATTAGTGTCCCTTGCAATGCTAAAGAATGACCTCCTGTTTGACTGAGGTGTATGAATTCTATTGGCTGTTCCAGGCAGCCCAGGGTATCGGTCTGGAACCCCAGTATTTCCCCAACACAACAAAATGAAATATCAGAGTAATGGAAGGCCAGTCTCTATGCCAGGGATGTAGAGCCTAAGATTCTCCATATGTTGTTATACTACTCCAACTCCCATCAGTGTCAATCTATGGGTCAGGCACAAAGGGAGTTGTAATCTGGTAACCTCTGGAGGGCCACAAGTTCCCGATCCCTGCTTTATGGCCTCAGATTTCTACATATTGTGACCCATCAAGCCAATCACAACTTGCTACTACTTCGAGCAACTCATCTAGACTGGCCAAGGTCTGCATTCAATGGGGTAAAAATTATGCTGGCACATCATAATGTACAGAAAAAAGTGGGAAGTTGTAAGTTGTATGTAAGTTGCCCAACATACAATTTCAGCTTCTGTTTAGATTCTTCATTGTTGTCAGCCACCTTGAAGTCCTGACAGTAAAAAAATAGAGTAAAATAAACTTTCTTTCAAATACTGATGTTTTACTCCATTACTGCCCAAGTTTTACACAAAATTCTTGGAGATCAAATCAAAGTAGCTCTTAACCACTGAGGCTCAGATTTCTAACATCCAAGAAAGTGTTGAATGTACCTCATTACTTCTCTTAAGTCCATAAAAGGAAGCTGCTCAGACTGTTAAAAACTCAGACCTGACCTTAGCGATGAAAGACAATCCACACCTGTCTGCACGATGGTAAAGTGAAAAGCCCTCCAAAGCATGGCAAGCTGGAACTAGTCTGTTGAGTCCTCAGTGACTGAATCAGAAAGCAGATGTTCCATGTGGTGTTATTCAATAAGAGTTTCTGAATTGGTTCTTTACTACCATATGTGTAAAACTGGGCATTATTTTAGGCTTGTAAATGAACCCACAAAAGTTATTGCCCCACAAAAAATGCTTCTTAGGCTAAAAAGAGTTCTGATTCTCCTTTAGCAGCTACCTGCAATTTCTATGACGAATGAGGAAGGGCTTTGCCTCCTCTGGCAGCCCAACTGGTTTCTGTAGTAATGGGTAATGATACAAGTTAAACATTGTCTCCAGGTATTATAGGTTGGAGCCAAGACTCCACCCATTAGTGTTCTTGTGGTTACTTTCATTTTCCTATGCAGTTGCATAAAGCTGATAATCAATAAAAAGCAACTTGTTCTGGGTCTACAAAAGTGAGTAGGCCTATGCTGGCCAGTGTGCATGAAATTCCATGGCAAGCTTTTTAAGCTGCTTCAACAACCCTCTGGAGAAACCTCTTAAAAGAGATTCCCGAAGCCCCATCTACTTAATGTTTCACACATTGTTTTTTGATGTTTAGGAGAGTTAAACTGTTCTGTTACTGGCGATGTTAATATATTTTAAATGATGGAAGTTCTGCAATGTATTTATAATTTTTGATTTTTATCTCTAATATTTTATAGCATTTTTTGTACTTTGCTTGTAATATTTGTGAACTGCTTAGGTGTTTCTTTGAAAAAATGTGAAGAACAATATAAATTATATATGCTACAGTTATCAGGCTAGAACTTAAGTATTTGCAGTACTTTATTACTCTAAACCAGGGTTTCCCAAATTTGGGTCTCTAGTTGTTTTTGGACTAAAATTCCCATCATATTTGACCACTGGTCCTGCTAGCTAGGGATGATGGAAGTTGTAGTCCCAACAACTGGTTTGGAAGACCCTGCTCTAAAGTTTAAAGAAACTCAGCTTTTAAAAGTTCCCTGATTACTGATAGAGGAAATGAGGCTTTATTCAGCTCACTGGTTTTCAAGCTGCGTTCCAAGAGAGCTTGGCATTCTATGCAAGCTTGAGTGTTTGATAACAAGATTGGTAACAAGGGGGAAATTCCTCTAAAAACTTGTCCACTACTTGTTCTTCCCAAGCAATGTGCAGCAGCTAGAGTGTGTTGGATGCATCCTAGGATACACTGATGAGACCAACAGGACTGGCCAGTGTTCCATGTGAGCTACCTACACCCTCGGATTTGTTTCAGTATCATGAATTCCACAGCAGACACTTGAGGATTCCCAGTCAATATGGAATGGATTCCTGACGGAAGAACCTTTGAAAACCTGCCCATGCTGTGCTATAACATCAAAAGCAAAGAGAAATTTTTAAGTAGCATTAACAGTGGCTATACGAAGGCTGCTACAGAAGCCAACCTGACCAGTTAAAGGCTTGAAGGATTCCTCAGCAAAGTCCTGTCCCTTGGGGCTACTCCTATATGGATTTTCCATAGAAGGCTTACCTGGTGGTGGTTGCAGAGGCTGTCTGGCAGGCAGAAGTGCCATGATAAGTGCTAGGCAGTTGGGAGCCATCACTTTCCACAATAACCTTGATGTAGTAGAGTTCCACAGCATTGCAATACATTTAAACAGTGAGCCCTGACCAACAACAGTCAGAGCTTAAGGGTGGTGGTGGGAATTAAAGGATGTCCCTAAGCATGCATCAGTGGTGGAGAGTGCTGTGTGCAGACTCCAGGCATTTTTACCTTCTCAGTCCTCAGCCATATTGTTACTTTCAAGCAGCAGGGTTCTCTCCCCACTCCAGGGGCCAGTTTACATTATCATTACCACTGTTCTAATAACCCCTGATGCCTGAAATAAAAGAACAATTGCATGCTGCTGGTTTCTAGCTATAAAAAGCCAAATGAGGCACCCATTATGCTTTATAGTCTTGCTAATTTAAAATTATTCCCTACAATAGCAGCAAGTTGTCTGCTCTTGCCTCTAATCATGTCAAATTACAGTGCTTTCACCATTTGCTGAATCACACATATTCTCTTTGTATTTACACATCTATGGCATTATAGAATACTAATAACTTAGTTATGCCAAATATAAAGACAACGATGAGTCTTTCAGTTCATTTTGCATTTTATTTAATCTTCAAATCTAGGAAGAAATCCAAGGAATGAAATGCTGACTAAAGCAGTGTTTTTCAACTTTTGCTGGCTCAACTGTAAAACACCTAGCTATTAAGATCCTACAGGCAAAATCATATTCTGTTCTTCCTATCAAACAAAATAATATACCTCAAGGAAAAGTAAAATAGAATCCTGGCCTCAGGGAGTAAAAACAAACAAACAAACCAGAAATTTCAAGGTGGGAGGTGTTAGTACTAGGCTGCTACAAAGCAGAATAAGCCTGTTTAGTAGGAACATGTATAATGGGCAGCTCATTTTTTATACTTGAAATAAATGCTTAGGGAACCATGGAACTAACAATGTAACTTAGGTGGATTTGTAGCTGGTTGACTGACCAAACCCAAGATGGCTCACTAACAATTTCTCACCTCCCCAGAAAAAAGCAAGTGCAGTGTCATAGGGTTCTGAATGACTTAGATGAAGGAACGGAGGGGATACCCAACAAAT